TGTATTTATAGCATAGAGTTAAAATTACATTCAGCTCATATTTTCTTGTTAACGAAGAGGGATGGAGTGAAAAGAGACAAAGGGGTTGGCACAACACGTGTCATGTTGTAAGTGGTTTTGGCTCGCTATTATTATGGCCGGCTGCCTGCCTGATGTCAACCCTCCTTGGGAACAAACACACAGATCGGGAACAATTATCTGTGTGTCACACGAATGGTTGTCAATGACGAAATCACCCACAACCCATGGTGCTGAAGTCAATAGCTTAGCAACTGACTGATAAGACTCTTTTACGTTATTTACATTTGTAAATGTTTTTATTTGCATCCTCCCTTTAGTCCAACCCGTATACAAATTGGTATACAAATATTACACTGTGCTGAAATAATATAGTTTTAATAAATATTTTTGACATTATTACAGTTCTTTAGAGATGAACCTTAAGAATTATTTTGGGAAAGCCCCTTTGTGTACCTAAATAATCAGAACATTTGTAAACAAGTGATTTGAAACTATGTAAAAAATTTACTATGATGATGATGTGAAGCAGTTGCTATAAGTGTGAACTCTGTTTTCCACCAACCTTTTTCTATTGTTGTAATGTTAAAAAAACATTCTGAAGTGGTAGAACAGTAACATATATAATGTTTACTGTACTCTCTAGACTATAATAGATCTTCTAGGTTGCAGTGATTATTAGGACTTACTATGTAAACCCTTCCAGACATATAAAATACTTTATTGTACAATTAATACTATTGCATTAATAAAAACATTTGTCAAAATAAATTACATCTTAAGTAGAAAGCTTATAATTATATAAAGTTCAGTTCCAAATAATATGTATCAATTTTGTTCCTTTGTCTACCCACTTTCAGTGAACCATAAGCAATTTTAATCCATTCAATAGCTTGTTCTTTGTGTAGGTGTGTTGTTTTACCTTTTATGACCATTGATGCATGTCTTGGGTCATGTATAATTGTTTTTTTTTTTAATATAATGAGTTTCCTTAATCCTTATGTGGGATGTTTGATGTAGGATTTCAAAAATGTTTTTATACAAAGTTATCACGGGTTTCAAAATTGAAAGCTTCCAAATATTATTAATAGTAATAGCTAATTATAATAAAAATATATTTTATTGTAATTAGTGCCAAGAAATATGGCCAAAAATATGAGTACACAAGGTTTAATTGTGATATTTTATCAGTGGTAACAAAGACCCAGATTTAGCAAATACTTCAAAATCAATCAATCAATCAAATATGTCACACAAATATTTGACCTGTGTGGGAATCGACCCGAAGATCCGCGGCGCCGAAGCCAACACCTGAGCAAATGTGCGACAGAATTTATCATTTACTTTTTTTCTGGATATATAAAATTTTGTCATTTCAAATTTCAACTTTGGATGGTTCAAGTCCAATAGTGCTATGGCCATTAACATATTGTAGACTTGATATTTCCTGGTTTTATAATTTCCAGTAACTTTCTACAAAGCTAGCTGTAATTGACATAATGATTGATGATTTATAATTTTATATTATTTTTAGATACAGATATATTACCCTTTAAATAAAACCATTATTGGCACTAACTATTAACTATAATTAAAAACAATAAAAGTTGTGTATATCTTAGTGTATACTATCTTTTCAATATTGAAACCTGGTAATATGTTAATGATAGAATTTCAACAATAGTAAATATTGTCCAGTAGGGTTACATTGTTGGCCGCTTTATCCATTTATTATATGTATGTGATATTAGCAATCTTATATATTATATCCTATTTGAAATTGTAGTGTGTATATAAGTAAAAGTATGGTACCTATTCAAAATTTTATGAAGAAAAATTCCAATAAAAATGAATAGCCTTTACTATTCATAATTTAAATGATGACTTGAGTTCATTCGATAATCAATTACCCTTACTGATGTCATTATCTCAATTGTTTGATAAAGTTTTGAAAACAATTAGGTAGTTGAACTATTTCATAATCATTTAAGTAGTTTTTATAAAACAATGAACATGTTTTCCAGATAGACTAAAAGTATTATATATTTGTAATTTTAAATTTTGAACAATGTTGATAAATATTCAGTTCAATTAAGATTTGACATTGACCTCTCCATAGGTAGCTTTTGAAGAATAACTGGTTAATTGGCAGACCTTAACCTTAAAATGACAATGCCATTCATAAATGTCTATGCTAAGTACATTCATCAAGAATTACTAAAGACATTCAGAACAATCAAGTTTGCAACTTAGACCTATCATTATTGATAATTGTTAGTTGGTTATTAAATATATTTCAATTTTTTTTAAGTCTTAGGGCATTATGATTATTTATATCCCTCTGACTAGTTTAAACTGCTGAGTATACAATGGCATCAGACTGGAGGTTGACAAGACTGGTGCCTGTATATGCGAATGACCAAACTGAGAAGTGTATAATTGGTCTGGATATGGTTACGAATGTATGTTAGTTTTTGTGATCAGAAGAGATGCAACCTATAAAAAATTAAATGGGACTTTTTTATGGATAATTTCCAACATTTTGAATACCTACTTTGGGGAATGGTAACAACTTTATGAGGTGGACTTCCTGTTCACTTATCACCTGCTATAGAAAAAAAAAAGCCTTAGTACTTAGAGTTAGGAGTTTCAATTTTATTTGGCATTTAGCTTAATTGCGCTGTTATTTATATGCTTCACTAATTATCTGTTAAGCGTTCTCCTTTAGTAGGCTTTTGGATTTAAATGAACTCTACTTATGCAGTTGGCTTGCAACTGTACATATGTTTGTTGTGCTATTTTTTTAAGTGAGTTAATTAAAACAAGCAAAGCACTTTACTTAAAGTTTTATTAACAAGCTGAACTTAATTTATATTGCAAAATAATTGGCTTGTCGATGTTCCATTCACCTATTCTTGATGTGTAGATAAATTTAGCATTTAGTGTTATAGATTGATTTTATGGATCAATTTCTACCTCCACACATCTTTTGCCTTTTCCATTTATTTGTATTTGATATATCACAACAAAGGTTGTAGGTTTTTGTATTGGTTATATGGTTTTTGTCTGGTGCTTAGCATAAAATTTCAGTTAACACATGTACCAGTATTTGAACAATTGAACTGCGAATGCTCAGGGACTAAGAATTTTTAAGGCTGCTTATTTATAGTGCATATGATCCTAGATATCTGACAAAATACTTGTCTATAAATACTATGTGTATTGAAACCACCGTGTCTTATGGAAACCCCAGTTTACCTTAAGCAGGACTCAATAAAACATAACTTGAAAGCTTAGAGGACGCTTCTGTGGTCAGTCAGAGCAAGAGGCTTATTGTCTCTTCGGTAACAACCGATTAAATTAATCACGGGCGCAGGCCCAGAGTAGCCATCCTCGTTTTTCTACAGGATGCATTTGTAGTTTGGAGTTGCATCCTCCGCTTTCCATACTAGAGCAGTTATTGGTCTCGGGCCAAGCGGGTCGCTTTTAAATAAATGTACTATGTATATATATAACGCGCGTCTCTCTTACCGTCCGAATATTACGTTGACGTCGTCAAGCCAAGGGTAAACGAGCGTCCCCTGAGCTGTCCATATATCCCATACCATCCTATACCATGAGTTTGGGGTCAGGCGCTGGCCAGAAAAAAAAATCTGTAAATTTAAAATTGTTCAAGAGAAATCTGTTTAATTTTCTGATAAGTAGTGGTGTGTTACATACAAGAGGTCACTTGCTCAATAGCACTCTACACCATCGAAGACCATTCGTCCACAATGGCGTCCCCGCTTCCGTCTCAACGGATTCCCTCGTTCCGTCGGCCGTTGACGGACAATAGAGCGCACATTTCCCACTGGCTTCTCTTTTGACCCGACCCCGGTGGCACGCTTTCTCGCGTTACCAACTTATCGGGTTCAATCTCTCGAGTGCAATGTCACTGGGCGCGTCAAATGTCGTAAAGTATGTTTGTCTCACTCTTCGGAATCGTTAGTTGTACAAAAATGTCATTTAAACAATGTCTTTAATTAAACGGACACAACTTTGTGAACTCTCAAAATGTGACAGGTCGTGGTACTCGTGTGGAAGGGGTTGGGTAGTAAGTGTCAAAGATCATAGTGACCTAGGTCTGTAGTAGTCTAAATATAGGGTTAAGGCATAGTCCATCCACCACGCGATCAAACAGCGGATTGCTGAACTTGAAATATCCTCGAAATTTTTTGGTTATTTTTTTTTTATTCTTTATGTTTAAGGGACTTTTGCGTAATCTGCATGTCAGTCCTATCGTGCCCTCATCTTATGTTATTTACAACTTTGACTTATTATAAATATTTATTTTAAAGTTTTAGCCATAAAATCATACAGTAAACTTGTATTTTCACTATTTTGGTGTCATAACAAAGAAAGAAAAAGGCCTACATTATATTTGCTTCAGTTCATGTCTCTTAACAAGTTATTTCTATTGGACTCATTTCTAACACATTCCATCAACAGGTGTATTTTCTTGTTATTATTGAAAAAGTACGCAGGTTTTCTTACATGTTAAGTTGGCACCTAAAATTGTAATCAACAATTTCATTGGTGCCGGCACCGGTATACGTACTTAGGGTGATCGAGTTTATTGAATTAAAAGCGAGCTGTCACGGCTCAAGTGGTAGTTAACACTCCCGCGTTTCTGTGAAGTTCTGGATGATCCCGCCCATTCGTACAATAGCATTCGTACAGAAGCTGTGGCATGTCACTACCACAGTCGCAACGTCTGGTATGTTTTAAACCTTCCAGTAATTGAAGGCTGGTCTCTTTTACTTCATTATTTAACGGATATATGTCTCGAATTGATAGGCGATGAATAAGTAACTTGATCTTCGACGATCGAAAGTCTCTGGGGTTTAACTTTAACGGATAATAGTCTTTGAACGAATTGATAGGCGATGGATAAGTAACTTGATGACTCGAAACGCAAAATCGATCGCCAAACACATGTTAATATGAGAAAGTGGCGACTACATCCGTCTTCGCGCCTACGCCACTCGAATGCTAAGTCGACCGTCTACTTAGTACTGGAAATTGCCAGGCGACGTGCGCTCTCGCCAATCCGCTCCGTTCCGCGCGAACCAAAGTCAAATCCATTGTTCCAGGTCGCGCTCCGAGAGTGGAGCAATTCGCGTGATTAGAGGCGGGCTGTTATCATATTGAGTCTGTTACAAAGGTTAGCGTCGACATGCAGTATGGCTCAGCGGTTGGAGTAGACAAAGTTTTTTTTTAGAAGCAACAACCTAACAAAAACAAAATAAACACAAAACATCGTTTCATTACAAGGTAAAAAAGAAAAAGAAATAAGTACCTACTTTGTGTACTTATTTTTATTGTTACAAATATAAAAGTTATTAATAAAGTAAACAAAAATGACATGGAAATCTTTCAACGCTGAACACTGTTGCGTGGCCCTACCACAGTGAAAATGCTACTGTAATTCTTATGGCACCTCCATAGCCAGTAAGCAGAGGCTCTGTTACACGGCTAGAAAACCTTAAACAACACTTATTAAGAGTCCAGTAACTGATGTCACAAGCTTGTGTTTTTTTCTAGTATTTACATTACGCACATCATTATTCTTATTACATTTTAGCCATTCGGATATGTTCGATTAATGAAATCTATCAAATGATGAACTAGAATGCTATGCACCATTAAGATTTAAAGTTATTAAGCAATTGAAGCCGACAACTGCATATAAAATTATACATACTATACTTGATATGATAACAAGGGCCTATATAATTAGTATAATACATCTTTGACCTATAGTCTAGTTTCGTATCAACATCAAAACTTTTTAAAGTAGGTAGGTACTAGTTATTACGAAGTTCGTATCAAATATATTCTGTTTAATTTTCAGTGGGTCTTAATTTTAATTTCAAAATACCGAGGAATTTGAAACAGCTGCAAATGTTGCGGATCAATTTCTGAATCAAGAGACATACAGAAGAGTGTAATCTTACTAATTACCACTCTACAGTTTTAGACTCTGACTCTCTCCCTCCTCTTATCCATGGACTAAAAAAATATCAGTCGACAATGTGATTTTTCACCACATTGTCGACTCAGATTTTTTTTTGAATCTTTTTTGATTGATGATTATCGACTTATATACTTTGATAATGCATTTATTGTTTATGCTCAATATTCACTAACTAACAGGCAGGACAGAGAGAGGAAAAACGCTTCCTATACGAATCTAAACGAATATACTGACACCTCTCTTTTCGCGTCGTAATCAAAGTGCTCCTTATGACAGCATCCTTATTGGCAGAGCGTGAAGACAAATTCCAGTGTGCTAGTGATGTGCCAGTGACTCGGTGGACGTAGACCCGTGCGATTCGGTGACCAGTGGCGGTGTTTGTGCTCGACTCCGGGCTGCGCCCGCGTGTGAGATGAGAGCCATTTGGACTCGGACACTCGGTTACGTGGCTAAGGCGGGACTCTTGGATTTGATTAGCGGCTAGAAGACGCTCAACAGTGAGTCTTGCTAGTGTTTTATTTTTTTAAACATAGCTCTCATTTTAGGAAAGCATTATCCTGTGTTGTAAGGTAGTACAAACATAAATTTCACGTGGACAAACACCCAAATGCGAAACAGCTGTGTGTCACTCAAATAGTTGTCCCGTGTGGGAATCGAACCTCCGACGCCGAAGCCGGGGCAAATGCGCCACGGTGACATCTCGTCGTTTCCCTTTTGTTTCCCGTTTGTCCATATATGTATAGAAAGTAAGAAAACGGGATGTTATTCTGAAGGATGTGATTATCTTTAATTTTTGTGGCCCCACCATTCTGAAACCGCGTTCTGGCACCACTGCAGATAATAGTGGATTAGGTTGGTATGTTTTATGTGGTGGATATCGGTTTGGGAAGGATTATTTCAAATTCCACTATTGGGATACTAAAATTGGGGATGAATATCTGTATGAAAGTAGCATATTTTGAAGGGAAGTTGGATAAGTGAGTGATTGTTTGCATAAACTTTCCCACCAGCAGTGCAAGTGTAACATTTTGTTACAGTCTTTAAAATCATTTTATTACCTCGATAACTTGTCATGGCGTATCACCCAAGAATTAACAGAAATTGGATTCTGAACGTCTTCATAATACTTTATCAATTCAATAGTATTGCCACTAGTATAGAGCCTAGGGAAGTCATCGATAAAACTAATGTAAATTGACCGCAAATACATCATCATTGTTTCCCAAACACGTTTCGTCGGTGGCACTTTCGGTGACGCAATTCTACATACAAGTGGCAGGTGCGTCATTATCGTTACATGTCCTTGTTGAGACATTGAAAATGTACGAGATAAACTCCTGACCCACATTTACGTGTACAATTCTGTATGTGAAATTAAATAGCCTCTTGCACGGGCGTAAACTCTGCCTACGGTATTTATGCGGGCTCCGTGGAGGCACCGTTTTTAGGGTCCCGTACCCAAAGAGTAAAACGGGACCCTATTACTAAGACTCCGCTGTCCGTCTGTCACCAAGCTGTCTCATGTACCGTGATAATTAGACAGTAGAAATTTTCACAGATGATCTATTTTTGTTACCGATATAAAAACAAAAACAATAAAAAAATATTTAAGTGGCGCTCCCGTACAGCAGACATGATTTTTGCCGCTTTTATAGATAATGCCGCCGCACGGATGCAATGTATTATACATATTTAAACCTTCCTCTTGAATCACTATCACCCAGTTTCCGAAAGCGCAATCAATTTTAATTTACGATAAATCTCTTGTCAACCGTTGTTTAACATGATCTGAGTTGCTAGAACGTCTTAAACAACATTGATTTTGATTTGTAATTAGTCACTGATTAACGGATAATCAACAGAAAATCGAGTTTCTGAAAGCGCTTTTCGGTGGTCAACGAGCTGTCAAAAGTTTTATTAAGTAATCTGCCAATTTGGACGATCAATCGTTGGTGAAAAATGTTATTTATCAAAAATCTTAGTTTTTATTAAAAATAAACATAATTCCCTAATACGTTGTTAGGACATTCATGTGTTCTATTAACTATTTATTATTTATTATTATGCGAACATAATAATAAATGCGTGGCGGGCAGCGGATGAATGCGGGCTGCCCAGGGCCGGGATAGTTGGGGCGCACTTTGGGGGAGGCTTACGTTCAGCAGTGGACGGCAATAGGCTGATATTATTATTATTATTTATTATGCGAACATATCATGTGATTAGAAAAAATAGAAAATGCAATTCAAAAGTTAATAAATAATATGGATTCTTTCTTTTTATAATACTTGTTTATTATGGATAAAAGTTCATTTTTTTCACGTTCTGTGAAGTTGTTTTTTGACATTTTGCATGTATTTATATAAATTAAATTTTATTATAGCTAGAATTTTTATGTTGGCAATCACACGGTGACAGGACTGGATAGTGACGTTAATTTAAGCTTTGTTTAAAAAGGGACAGCTATACAATAGAAAGAGTTAGTTGTAGTAAATCATTAATTTCATTCATTATCATTGGTTAAACAGTTATTAGCTAATTTTTCTTGAACAAACCTTCCAGAAACCCAAGGCAGTTTAACAAGAGATTAACAGCTGATCATTTTTGACATAGTGTTATGTGATTGCTGCTTTGATTGGCCTTTCGGAAACTGGGCATATATCTAGTAAACAAACCGCATCAAGATCCGTTGCATTGTTTTAAAGATCTAAATTTTATAATATCTCCGAGTTATTATTCGCACTTGTCAACCTTGTAATTGACGTTGGCTTCGGTCCTAAAGTTTTGTTCAATTTAGGGATGTCTATTTTTTTAGTTGGTTTCGTTCATGCGGGTGCAGTTTGATTCCGGTACAGACCTAGTGTTTGTACGACATTTCAATAATTGCCCCGTATCTGGCTATTTACTAATGCACGATATATGTTTGTTAAATGGCTACAAGTCAGGATAAGCTAATCAATAATATAATCAGTTGATTGTGAAGTATTTAAAAAAAAATGACGCAGATTAGATATTCCTATAAGCGGTTTGTAAGAAACGATGAAAATGTAATGACTTAATTGTTAAAACAGCTACCTCAAGATGTTTTCCTTCACCGCCTAGCACGTGATAAGTCGGCACTTAAAATTAACAATTTCATTGGTGCCGACAACGGGGATCGAATTCAGGTTGCTCGAGTGTAATATTGAATTCAAATCAAGCGCCCAGACAAATAAGCTATCACGGATTATATGTATATGAAGCTTAGTGCGCCGATGTAGTAACGAAATTATTGTATAGTTATTTAGTTGGTTTTATTTGCGCAGATGCTAAGTTTTTAGCTACGACTACTCATATATTGAAGAGCAATCGCAGACGGGACGAGTATCCGTTTAAACGACAGTTAGTTGTTCCGGGTCTGGGTTAATCTGCGCCTGTAAAATATATGATTATATTATCCGGCAATGATTTATAAAAATAGTAAAAATGGTCCTAATTTGTCCCCTGTGTAAAGGACGAAATGTCCACACGTTTTTGGTACGAGATAAGGTGGCAATATAGGTGGCACCTGGCTATTTGCAACACCCAACTCCGCCACAACCACCATCATATCAGATTATCAGCTGAACATTTCGCTAGTTTGCCATCGACTTAAAATAATAAAACCATGATTTGGTTTTGCAAACGACCCTTCCAATGTTGGCAACGCATCCGCACACCGTCAGACGATGTAGATGTCCGTTGTAATCACTAGAAATCAGGTGAACCGCCTGCTCTTTTGCCAACAAAAAAAGAAAAAGCACGAACGAAGACTGCCGCATGAGTCGGGATCGCCCTACCTCGATCCGATGATCCTCGGCCGCGAAGGCGGGTTCGTTGACCGCTAAACGCGACGTTAGAATTATCCGTTGTTTAGAGTCCGCGACTTGTGGACACAATGAGTCGGCCGATGCGTATTTAGCATTGCAATGTGGCCCGTAGCTACTATCGGTCACGAAGACCTCATCGCGTCAGTGTTGCGTGCTTAGCGGTGTCGCCAACGAATAGAGTAGTGTTGATATCTTAGTAGGTATATGTTCATTTAACTATTTTATTTTTTATTTTATGCGAAAAGTTATCAAACGAGCACACGGTTCACCTGATGTTAAGTGAATACCGCCGCCCATGGACATCTGCCACACCCGAGGGTTACAGATGCGTTGACAACCTTTTGAAAATTGGGCTCCGGCTACCTCACTCACCAGACGAAACGCGAAAGTATTTGTCATACTTCCACTTTACGCTGGTCTTCTGTGAGGTCGTGGTACTTACCCGGACGGGCCTGCCCATTCGTGCAACAGCCGAGGCTGCTGCGTGGCCCTACCACCGTTGAATGATGTTTATTTCATTACACAGTTGTGGTAGGAATATGGAGCCGCTTCTGATGTTGCAAGAATGGGCAGGCTCGTCCGGGGAAGTGTCACGACCCAACCGTAGACAAACGAGAAGTAAAAGTGTTGTTCTTTTGCGTTTCCTCTGGTGAGTGAGGTGACCGGGACGCACTGTTTTTGAAGGTTGGCAACGCATCTGCAACTCACCTACTGTTGCTGATATCTATGGGTGGCGGTGAATACTTAACATCAGGTCAACCTCCAAACGCTGAGCAACTTTCAAATTAAAAAAAAAAAAGTTTATTAAAAGTCGAGTCAAACACCAGGAGGCCCTTTTGGTACTTTAAGTTTTCGAAAAGCTTGTTTGTGAAGTATTATTAGAATAATATTATACTAGGTATTTGATTAGAATTAAACTATTTCTTTTCTTGCTTCGTTTTTAATGAAAAAAGTTGTCTTCACAGAGGGTGTATGGCAACTCTATATGTACTTGTAATTTCCTACTGGGCACGATAAACAGTTTCTGCCTGTACTCGCGTAGGATGTTTGTATTTATATGCGCATCCTATTACGACTTACGTGGCTTATTTGTAAGCGGATTTGACTTGTCGTCTGAGATCGAACCGTGTAGAGATCAATCGGTCAGCTGTTGATTAGCGAGGCTCAGGTTGGGTCAGCGTAACTGCTTCTCCTGTTGCAGAATGGATAGGCTTGTTCCTAAACAAGCCTATCCATTCTGTTTTTTCTTATCTCTGATTTTTTTCTTATCTCTACTTTCCTATAAGTACCACTGGCTCACCGATGATGAACAGCGCGAAGCGGTAGACAGACTTACAGAAGAGATATGTATTTCGTCTTGTGAATGAGGTAATAAAGTTTATGCAATCGCAACCTCACAGGAATTGTAGATACGATTACAAACTTTTCGCATCATATTTAAGCGCCAATATAAATGTTGATGCTTTAATTTTCAAGTTCGGTTGCCCGTCCTCTGTCCTCTGGTTTAGAACCCCACGATTTAAAGGGCTAGGGTGTTTATAGGAATAATTTGTCGAATCTGTCGGAAAATTTCACTAAAGTAAATTGTCTAAAATTTCACTATAGTATATTTTCTACGTAGCATATTTCGATTACAAAATGTGCGCATTGCGGTTCAATAGAACCGTTGAACTACGTTCGTTTTAGGGAACTGCATCTGATTGATTTGGGCCTCGGAATGCGTTTGCGAATAATGAAAAGCTACAACAAGCAAACATGTCCGGGTGGAATCTCTTTTCGTATGTCTCACAGAAGCAATGATGAATGAGTCTGGTTTGTCGATTTGTTTATTTTGATTAGGAATGAACAAATAAACGTGTTTAAATATATCCCTTGTCATTTCCGCCAAGCTTCGCATTTTTCGGATTGTAAATTTTATATTTAAATCGTATCCGGAGCCTTGCTTGTTGCATGTCTCACACAAATCTGCAGTCGTGAGACATTTTGGACACGTAATGAACCGATGACATAACAATAAAATGCCGCAGGCCTTTTACTGTTATGTCTGTGCGTTCGCTTAGTTGGTTAAAGCGTCTGGTCGCGAAACCAGAAGACGCTGGTTCCAATCACACAGCGCCGAAAGTTATTGTTCAATGATCTTCAAGAAAAATTACAATAAAATTACAATTACATCAGGCCGCGAATGCCGAAGACGTGGGTTCGATTCCTACAGTGGCGATAATCTTTTCGTACTTTTTCTACATGTTTTAATGTTCAATCTTAAGTGCAGAGATTAGCACTATAAAAAACTTTAAAATTCAAAAATTACAATTCAAAACTGTGCAGGTTATGCTAAAAAGGATGGCAAAAATATTGATAAAGATAAATTTACTAAAGTGGACTAAAAGGATTTAAAATTTAAATACATACCTACATTACAATTTATAATGGCTTTTCTTTGAAAATTCAGAAACAATATTCCCTTTATCGCGATGCATGGGGCCTTGCCCTTGGTAGTATGAACATACATAAGTATAGGTTGCATTTTCATTATTTAGATCGCTCTAATATTATAAACGGGAAAGTGTGTGTGTAAATATTTGTCATAATTATGCTGAATGTATTGAATGAGGCTTTGAATGGATTAGTATTCTACATTTCAATAAAAAAATCATGGTATAGCTTTTTATTCATATAGTCTACGAGTATCTTCGATGGCACTGTGAATAACCTCGCGATGTATGTGGAATTAAGTGACATTTTGTTTGTAAGCTATTGGCTTCAGCCCCAAGGGTCGTGGATTCGATTCCCACACAAGATAAGTATTTGTGTGACCTACAGATAGGAATTCCGAATCTGTTACCGAGGAGGGTTGACAGCGTTGTCATATTATTATCGCGGTGAACGGCGAAGAATGACTGATGGTATGTGTTCACAAGACCTTAAGAGTTTGCTCTCTCCGCAGACGAAAAATGAGAAAAACGTGCTGGATCCGATTGTGAGCTATTAACTTGACGATTTAATAAGGGGCAGACATGGGACTCGAAAATTAAGATGTTGTGTTTTCAAATTTAAAAGACGAGAGCATCTGTACACACAATTCGATACAATACGTACCTACCTATATACATCTATATTGTTGTGTTGGAACCGTATCACAAGGTATTTGGAGAGGACTTAGTCGGTGCTGATTGTTTTTGCTCTCTTCGTAGATGGCGCATTATCCTCAGCCGGCGTCGCTGGAGGCGGCGCTGCCTCTGCTCAGCAGGCCCGACCTGCGTCTGAGGCAACTGCTCGGCGAGCAGCTCGTCGCGCTTGTGCGCCGCGAGCCGGAGATCACCGGCGACCTCGCCGCACAACTGATAGACGCACTCATCGCCTGGCTGAACGGCGGCAATTTCAAGGTGGGTCTTTTTAAATTTGACAAGTTATGCGTCTCTAGTTGCTAAGTGATAGAGTCAGTTCGACTTTGCGCGTCTAGTTGCTAAGCTGTGATAGAGTTAGTTCGATTTGGTGCGTCTAGTTGCTCAACTGTGATAGATTCTGATCTGTGCACCAAAAAAATATATATATATCAGATCGACTTTGATAGTTTCTGAACTTGAATATTAACAACTATTATAACGACAAGTGGCACTAGTGGTTGTATCACTGTCCGGGAACGCAGCCGAAAAGCAAGTGACCGCTGCTCCATGCGACCATGTGTCCCTTGGCTCGAGTAGATAACGTCATATCCGGTATACAGTGTTGCCAGCGCCAACAAATCGTACTCCATAATTTCAGTGTTCTTGTCGTTGAAAGAGTACGTAGAATTTGATAGTTTGCGATAAGTCTTCGGGTAGTTGTTGCGTCGCTCTTAAGATTTTTAAAAGTACTGCCATCTCTAATCGCACTAAAATTAAGGGATGTTTTTGTGTTTGGAATGTTTGGTGTCTCTAATTGCCATAGATTCAGGTCGACTGACAGATTAAGATAAGCAAGTCCTCGGGTATCTGATCGATCGTCGATCTTAAGTTTTAAAAGTAAAACCCTAGCTAATCACTATATTATCTCTTACCGATTCAGAAGGGATTTTTTTAATTAATGGTGGTCTTGGCTTGGTTGTGGCTTGTTTGGTTTTAGTTCTCGCACTTCTTAAAGTTTGAGGGACACTGGCAGTATAGTCGAAATGTCAAGGCGTTGGGATCACGTTCGTAAGTCGACACTAAAGTTTTTCACAACGCATTGGCATTCCCGTTGGAACGGTTGAAAAACCACGCCGAAATTTACCACCAAATATCCTGGCGATTAGTGCTGATGTACCGATCGACGGTGTGGGGACAAGCTCAACAAAGGCTTGAATTCGCCGTTGAAGATCCAACGTTGTAATCAGACAGAAAGGGTTGGGCGATTCGTGCCACTCCTTTCTCAATGCGCGTTACGAATGCCAACCCGTTATGCTTTCTTTTTGTTTATGCGAAAACTACATGTTTTTGGGCAAAAATAATTCACGGTGTACGCGTTTACGTTGCCTGTCCCGTCATTATATATACACCATAATTAAACATGAAAAAATGAAGTTGTAGCATTTTTCTTTTCGTAGTCGACGCCATTTTCGATACAAAACAGCCGTTGGTGTCGTGACTGTTTCGGTTACAGTCGACGTATATCGGAAACTATACATACACTTCCTCAAGTACAGTACAGACAGTATTTTAAAATGTTGGCAAATGGGCGAGCGGCTCACATGATGTCAAGTCTTTACCGCCGTCCATGGACAGCTGCCCATTCATGCAACAGCAAAGCAGTGGTAAAAAAGGATGTAAAAATACATATCTTGTTTTGATCATGTTCTGATCTGCATTGCCTGCCACACAAGTGGTATCAGATTAAAGCAACGAGGTCCTTAATTAAATCAAATAAAACCTCTTTAACATCATCTTTTTGAAGTGAAAAATCATAGCTTTATAGAAAATACTGTTCACGTGTTCACAGGCACGCAATAATCAATTTAACCTCCGCAGCGAGAAAACCTATTAACGTTTGTCGTAGTCAAATTTTCTTTATCCAATTAGGGTGCCCTTTGCTATCGAGGTCGCTGTTTGTTTTTGTCCTGACGCATAGTAAACTTATTTTTACCATAAAATCGGGCTGGCACGATTAAACTAACTGGTACCGCGTCGTGCTAATAGACAACGTTTTTTTTTTTGTTTTGTAAAATGTTTTATACATTGCCCTTACTTTAGGATAGCATTATTCTGTGTTGTAAGGACGTTTTACAAACATAAATTTCACGAGGACTAACACATAGATGCGAAACTGCTATCTGTGGGTCACACAAATAGTTGTCCCGTGTGGGAATCGAACGCACGACCCCCGACGACGAAGCCAATACGTTGGCAACTGCGCCACGGAGTCATCAAAGTTAAAAATTCTGCCCTAATTTTACTACCAATTTACCCAGATTTCTGAGGAAAACTTACGGTCGGTTTCAATATCCGATCTACGTATAGATTCAGTTACTGGAGACAGAATTTAGAGAAAGATTTTAAAGTAAAGGGACTGGCATACTTTATAGGGAGTGAAGCTGAAAATTAACAGCAACGAAAAAACATTTCATAAACTGTTGTCCTATACTAATAGTGTCGAATTATAAAGTTATTTTTTTAATTTAAAGATAACAAACAACATCTTAGACCCTTTTCAAAGGTCTCACTAAATTGGTATTTTTTTAGTGCATACCCTGTCCTGTCCGTGTAGAACCGTGATAGGTCAGTGTCCGGGCGCTCGCTTACATTTACTCTAGCAACCTGAGTTCGATCCCCGGTTCCAGCACCAATTGTACTTTATAGTGCTGAATTATCACGTTCTCGGCGGTGAAGGAAAACATCGTGAGGAAACCGGCATATTTTCGATTGATAAAAATGATAAAAAATTTACAATGATAAAAATAATGTTCCGAAAATATGTGAAGTCTAGACTATGCCCTGATACCCTCTTTACAGAGGAGGCCTTTGCCCAGCAGTGGGACATTTATAGGCTGTACTGACTTTACTTTTTTATACCCTGTGCACCTCTGTGAAATGAGGCCAATATTGATCTTGAGCACCATAAAACTTATATACGATCGAATGATACGCGAACTCACCATGCCCGCCGGAGAGCAAAGCTCGCACTTGGGGCATACGACTCCTAAGCCTCTATAATAAGCCGGTCTAAATCCGCGCCGGCAGACGGCAAAACGAAGCCGACAACGCGACAAACGGGCAGCGCGATCGGCCGGCGCGTCGCGGCTCATCGCTCGCGGACCTATTCCGTGAGGGGTGGACGTCGCACGCGATGCTGAGGCGATGTGGCGACTATTCTGTGCGATAATGACACGAGATCTCGCATTATTATTGCACGGAATAATGGTACGAGCCGCAAAGCAAAAGCTGTCCATGTTGCACTCGATAACTTCTTGCATTTACGCTATACCTGATTACGATACACTATTAAATCAAACTTTTTTCTTCAATTTTTATGCGTTTAATTAAACTTTATACACTTAATTATAACATGATCAGAGCCTACGTTTTTCCACGTAAGTAGTCCACGAAACGAAAAAGTCGATGACCTTGGGTATCTATCCCGCGAGTGCAAGCCGCTAGTATAATCGCAGACGCATGTACAATGTATGAACACTGTAGTCATGATGTGATTCTCCACGTAGATTTTTTTTGTAGGAAGAGAATTCGTACATGTTTGAAGAGTGTGTTCATTTTTAGTTATACGATTCAAATCATATTATTTTTTTTTTTTTTTTTTATGCGAAAAGTTGTCAAACGAGCAGACGGTTCACCTGATGTTAAGTGAATACCGCCACCCATGGACATCTGTCACTCCCGAGGGTTACAGATGCGTTGACAACCTTTTGAAAATTGGGCTCCGGCTACCTCACTCACTAGACGAAACGCGAAAGTATTTCTCATACTTTCACTTTACGCTGGTCTTCTGTGAGGTCGTGGTACTAACCCGGACGGGCCTGCCCATTCGTGCAACAGCCGAGGCTGCTCCGTGGCCCTACCACCGTTATATCGATCTACAGGCGTCTGTCATTCCATACAAATAGTGTGATTCATCTTCAGGACTTGACGTGTGACGAGATTTTTACTCAGGTGGCTCAGGAGCAGTCTGTGGGGGAGGCCTATGTTCAGCAGTGGACTCAAACAGGCTGAAATTTTGATGATGATGAAAGGAGATACCTTTACCCTCGTAAACATAACTACACGATGCGTTTTAATAGAAATATACAAGGAAATAAGCTATTGACAGTGGGAAAATGTTCATCATTTTATTGCAATACGAGTGCGATATGGGTAAGAGTTTTCGCCCTAATATTTATTGTCGTTTAGTGAACATTGGGGCGTAGATCATTTCTTAACTTTGTTACCCTATACACTTTTTGCCTGTATTGTATTGACTGTACTAGCTCTGTGAGACTCCGGACCCACCGCCGGGGTCCCGCCGGATAACACTACACCCACAATTAGTGCAACAACAAACATACTAGTTCGCCCTCGCCTCCGAGCACGGCGAGACCAACACAACGCGTACACAAGGTACACCCGCGTTCCGGGGCGGTTCTCACCGCTCCCAGCCACCGATTAGCTAATTGCACAGTCGACGGCCATCGGGGTTTCGGTCCGAACCGCGACCTCGATGGCCCTTAGATGACACACCATACTTAAACGCACGCATGAGCACATGCGTGGCCCTACCCACAGCGGAGGGCCCAAACCCGTGGGTTCTGGCTAGCCCACCGGTTCTGCGTCAGATGAAGCTTTAATAGTCTCTGATGATAGGGAACTGAAAGCACAATCATCAGTTAATACAAGATACAAGATACAAGCTCTGTGAGTCATGTATAGAATTTGTCATCCCTTTACACCCCGCCGGAGTTTATATGTTCTTCGGAAAAATGCACCACGGCAAACTAAATTGCATTAAGTGTAAAATTTATTACTGTCAACACACGCCATGACTTGTTTCCTGGGCTGTATCAGTTTGGTTCGATATATTAGGATGTTTTTTAATTGGACTTTGATTAGTATAATCAGAATAAGTAGCCGCTGCGCCCATAACTCATAAACAGTGTACACGCAGATATGCCAGTGTCTTTGCAGCCGCGGACCGTCCTCACCGTGCACATTCTGGATATATTCAGAATTTTCTATACTTTGTGACATCTGAATTTGCACGAAGCGTATTTAAGAGAGTATAGCCAAACGTGTTTTTGACAACGTATGTATATACCTAATTATTCAATTAATATCGCTTATAAGCACTCTAGAGGCATGACCTCGTGAGATCGTAAATTTGATAATTTTTAAATGTTTACATACTAATATTATATTAGGTATAGTTGATATAAAAGTGTAGTATTTTTTATACGTATAAAATCTTCGATCTAACGTACACAGATCGTTGTAAACGCTTTGTTTACTATGGTATTTACAGCATACTGTTCCATTTCTTTGCTACCATGAATTTTAAAACCAACTTGTGACTTTCGACAGATGTCTATCGATAGAAACCACTACCTAAACTACCACTCTCCCATCAATGGATCTGCCCGTCACGTTTAGGTAATGTAAAATATTATCGCACGCTGAAGGAAACATCGATATTTGATTACGTCTCGGTTTTATTTGTTTCAAATGCTTCTTTTAATGCAAAATGTTGGAGCGAGAAGGGGACAAGTCTTTGCCGTTTGCGGATTTCGCGATTTGTTCGCACTGTACATTTAAAATCAATGCTGTATTCATTGCTCATTGTGTTTTTTTCTTTTCTTTCCGTATATCCCTTTGTATTTAATATTCGGACGATAAAAATGTAGAGTATTCCATATATTATATAGCAAAGGATCGAGAGATCTTCTATTGCATTTAATGATGTAGGAATATTAAGAATTATGTGTAGGTAAGCCTTTATGTGTTTATTTCCTCTCAGGTACCTCGACGGCTGAATTGAATTTGATGTAATTTGGAACAATACATGTGTTTAACTATTAACTGGTGTTCCTTAAGTTAACTATTTTGTTGATCTTCTATTGCATTTAATAAGTAGGGGGTTAAGGATTGTGTTTATTTGCGTGTACTGTTTATTCCCTCTTAGTACCTATGTTTATTGAATTCGATTCTCATTTAATAAATATACGCTTTTCAACGGCTCTCTTCCGCTTAGTGACCTATTTAATAGAACCACTCGGGCGAATCAGCGGGTGAAAACTTGTTTAATTGATCTACTTTATCGATTTTATCGATTTTACTTGTACTTTTATTCATTCATCTCATTCATAATAAATGTGTGCTAAATTGTGAACCAGTGACATTGGAAAATCCGTCCCAAAACCCCCCATACATTAACTATTTCTAATGATTAACAACTTGTTTAATCTAATCCTGCTTGTCTTCTTCCGGAGGTACAACATACGTCTTACGAAAGAGCTTCACAGATGATGTAACGACATAATTCTGTTCTTTGCAGATTGCGCAAAACGGCCTGGAGGTGCTGGCGGCACTGGCTGAGCGCTTGGGACCAGAATTCTCGCACTTTGTGCCCACCGTGCTACCTCATATAATAGATAGGTGAGTGCCTCCGAGAGGCTGTCAATTAAAGCTAAGTAACAGACGTTAGACGTCCCACTACAGGGCAAAGGCGTCTCATGTACAGAGGGTATGTGTGACTCCACTGCGGATTGCCAGACTTCGCATCTATCAAATATTTTTTTTTTATTATTTGCAAAAAATTCTGGTTTCCTCGCGATGTTTTCCTTCACCGGCGAGCACGTGATAAGACGTGAAATTTGTACTTGAAAGTGGTATTTGAAATTTCATTGGTGCTGGCACCTTGGTTTTGAACTCAGGTTGCCAAGTATATTGAATTAAAAGCGAGTGCCCGATCACTGAGCTGTCATGGCTGCGAACGCATCGGTAATTACTATAAATATTAATACCGGGTGAACTGTCTCAAAGTTTCGACGCCACGTCCTTTAAAAAAAAGTGAGACTGATGACGTCACATAAGTAGACATAAGAAGTACTTTATCGAGGGGTCTTTGGGGTAACAAGTTGAGCTATATAATAGAAATCCCTCATAAACTTTTCTCTAATTCGTAATGAGCTGGGTTGTCTTAAAGAAAAAAAGTCTTTGTAACTACCAAAATTCTAACACAGTCATTATTGAAAATAGATGAAAACATATCGATTTTAGTTCTTTCCAAAATTTTTTTTCTAATCTTATATATTCTCTCCCCCCTTATATCCCTCTACTCCGAAATACTTAAAAGATCGCTTCGAGTATCTTTCCTTATACCATGAAAGGTCCCTTCATTCTTCTGCCAATCTCTCCCTCCAAACTCCTGTACATTCCTCTTCCTTCTTCAAAAAATCTTTTACAGTGACAGCTGTGCGTTTGTAGAATTCTTTGCCCCGTCACATTCGACAAGCTAGGTCACTTATTTCTTTTAAAAACCTATTAAAAGCTCATTACCTGGAACTGTGAACTTACGCTTTCCTTTTTCCTTTCCTATTTTTCCCGAAATCTTTGACTATCTCATTGACGTATAAATGCCTTCATCCGATGTTCATAAGTGATTCATGTACACCTCCCTCTGCTCTCTTCTTTATGTCTCATTAGCAAATATTCTTTTCACAATGGTTGTCTGGAAGAAATCGCTTTCTGAGCGGTAAGACCGCCTATTGTATTTCCTTTTATATTCATTTGTAATTTGCTTTTTATATATTTTTATTTTTGGTGTACAATAAAGTATAAATAAATAAATAAATAAAATAATTCTTTCATTGTATGTCCGAGTTTGGAGAAAATATGTTACTTTTATATAAAAATAGTTCACACGTATTATAAAGGTACGATAAAACTGTTTCAAAAACATTTATTGATTACAATGGAGCACGTCGCAAGAGAAATCGATTGACAACCCGTAGAAAAAAGTACTGAACTGTTTTGTCTCTACCTCTATCAATGATAATCGGTATTAAATACCTCAACTGTTAACATATGTTTTGTTCTTATTGTAACTATGTCATACCTTTCAAAATTTAAAAGCTTATTTTATTGTATACCGTCTTAACAATTCAATTATACATATGCCCATAAATATTTTGTATATTGTTATAGTCCATAAATGTTTCTATTTACAATTATCAGTTGGCATACCTTATAAATAAATAAAAGTATCTGTAGGCAACAGTGTCAATGATACACAGTGCATTCTTTTGACATTGCGTGAGAGAGATAGAAGCGAGTTGAGTCTTCGCTTCTATTCTAGACGCTGTTGAGTGTTTGAGGAACACGCAAGTTGTCTGTACATAAGGAAGGACATTAGTTATAGTTCTTTCAATGTAGTCACTATGCATTTAACCGGCTGTAAATTATTTCTCAGTAATGCAAATCAATTTTAAGTGTATTGAAACTAAATACGAAATTAAAACTTTAAAACACTTTAAATACGAAATGTCATCACCTAACTTAGCGGCAGGCTTGTCACAACTTTATGCCAACAATAGTTTCTGCCTCTATCCGTCAGAACGGAATAAATAAATTTATCAATATTTATCAAATACACTAATTTGTTATTTGTATAATAGTTAATACGTAAATTAAAAATTTGGACCCCTTTTTACGAAAATTGCGCGTATGGAGGAGTATGAAATTTCCCACACTTATAGTTTATAGTACCTGGAGGAGGAGGTTGGTTTTTTTTTTGGTAAATCATGTATTTTGGAAATTAAATTTAGATTGAAATTACTGAGTAATGAAATATACACAATATTTTTCGATCTTACCGACGTAATAATTAGAAAATATGAACTGGTGTTTTGCACAATTCAACTTTAAAAAATAGGGAAACAAAATAACAATATATCAAATCGACAAAAAATAAAAAATAAAGAAAGCAATGATCTGTAAAAGTAAAAAAATAAGTGTGTAAATGATCGTGATACGAACCGCGGCCGTCTGTTTTGGGGCCGCCCGATTACCGACCAAGCTATCATAACATTTTTTATATATATTCTTTGCCAATCTTTTCTTTTACGCACAGTGATAATACAGAAATTAAAAATGTCATTGGTAATGTCCGACACCAGATTATAACTCAGTTTGAACTCTTAATTGTGGACAATGACGACAATCCATCGCCTTTATGCCTGCCTGGTGTAAGCTTTACGCCTTTTTCGTTTGGCATTTAATACTTTATAACAGAGTCTACGTTGCGGTGAAAAGGTTCTTGGAGGCTACACTAACAGTCAATACGTCAAGAGCAGTTAAAGGCGTGTATGTACGGCGATAATAAGCGTCTTAAATTGGAATGCACTTAAAAAAAACCGGCCAAGTGCGAGTCGGACTCGCGCACAGAGGGTTCCGTGCCATTATCTATAAAACGGCAAAAAATTATGAGCCCCACATAAGTTTTTATTCTGTTTTTTTTACTATTTGTTGTTATGGCGGCAAACGTAATACATCGTCTGTGAAAATTCCAACAGTCTAACTATCACGTTTAATGACATACAGCCTGGTGACAGACGGACAGACATACAGGAGTCTTAGTAATAGGGTCCCGTTTTACCCTTTGCGTATGGAACCCTAAAAAGTATAAACATGATTTCACTCTCGTCGAGGCTTCCTACCCGATATAGGACAGGAAACGGCCCGGCCCAAACGCGCGTAACTGACTACGTAATTAGTTTGATGAGTAACTCCAACAATAGACGGAGCGCCTGAGACAATGGCCCCGCTCATGCGCCCCTGGTACTTGGCTAATTGGAGAACGAGATGACACGCCTGTAAAGACGACGTTTTCCCAATAATTATATACTGCAATATCTTTTTTTTTTTTTTTTTTATGCGAAAAGTTGTCAAACGAGCAGACGGTTCACCTGATGTTAAGTGAATACCGCCGTATTTGTCATACTTGTTAGTTTACTTAGACTTTTAACAAAACCCTACCACCGTTTCTTAGAATCGTTAGTTGTTAAACTTTTTGACAAAACTTTAAAAGAAAAAAAACAAAATTAGAAAGTATCAACAATTAAATAAATTTTAAATTGTATTTAAACAAATGAAGTAAAAATTTCCACGCCCTTTTTCTATTGCCAAAATTGGAACTACGTAAGGCGAGTAAGATTCCGTTCGAATCCTTAAACACTATGGCCACGAGTTTGGGGCGGATGGGATGACCTTAAACTTCTCTGGTGGGTCTATTCTTTTTTCTTGCTGCAACATGGACTCTTGCTTGCTTTCAAGATCATAGTGATGAACCCACCTTCATACCACCCACACATTTTGAATTCACTAGACCACTTCTGCTCGTTCAGTAGATTATGAAGGAGCAGAATCTTGGTGAATAATTTTTCGAGTCTTCTCGTTTTGTAAGGAACTTTATCGCGGCGCGATGCGCGATTTTTTTTAACATGGTCGTATCATTCATCGTAGTTGCCTTTTCGTAATGATATCTTGAATACTAATGGTGACAATTAAATAAAATTTTACATTTACCTACACCCAAAGAGTGTCTTTAACTAATTAGATAATATATCATTAGTATACCGCGAACGCCCATCGTATGTCTGTCTAGGATTAAAGACATGTTGTTATTACTACACACATTAATCGGTTCTCATTTGAAAACCAACCAACCTAAGCTGGCTGACTCGAAGTCGATGAGCCGAAAAGAGCGAGCGATCGCTCTCGCATATCCAGGCTCATAGGAGCATAACCGCGTATATTATTAGACCGATGAGTAACGCCGATTGTCGAACGAGTGCTACAAACTGTCTCCCATTTATGTTCCCCTGGTACTCGGCTAGCGTAATACACACGAAATAGGGAAAACTTTTAACCAATTCTTCGTCAATCTGCAAACACAGGCAGGACATGAATGGATTACGGTGAAAACGATATATCTTAGCACTCGCTTTGTCGTGGGTTCAAACCCAGACAGGAAATCGCATTCTCCTATGAATTAGAACGCAAATAAACTTTACTGTACGCTTTATATTTCTCTACTTGTCACTACTTGAAGGCCGAACGACTTTTTGAGTCTTAAAGTAAAACTAACTAAACCGGATAAGACGGAAACTATCATAATGCAGGCAGGCAATCGACGTAACGACGGCCTAATCGAGCGGGCGAACAAGGCAGACGATATATCGTCGTCTCTTTCAGACGATGACACTCGTGCAGCCCTGGTACTTGAATAACAAAAACATAGGGTCCTCGCTTTAATGGAGGTTTTTCTTAAAATGGGATGGTCTAACCGACCAATAAACTAACCTCGAGAATATAATGCGTTGTATTCTAAAAAGCCTTTTTTATTTTTAAGCAAAGAACCTTTGCTGTTTGTATAAAATGCCTCACATAAAGCCTATGTGATCCTGATCAAGGAATCCCACGCAAGGTTAGCCGTCATTCCTTTGTCGCTTATAATTTTCCTTTTAACAATTTAGACAAATGTCATGATTATGTACTTATAGCGCGCTTAATTAGAGACTAAGTAATTTAATATATAAAATTCTCGTGTCACTATGTTTGTAATTGAACTCCTCCGAAACGGCTCGATCGATTTTCGTGAAATTTTTTGTGCATATCGGCCAGGGTGGAGAATCGGACAGCATCTATTTTTCATCCCCCTAAATGTTAAGGGTGGTCCACCCCTTATTTTATTTTTTTATATAAAATTTCTTGTTTTTTTTTTTTTTTTTTTTTTTTTTATGATACGGCAGGAAAAAATACATACAACCCTAAATTTTCACCCCTCTACGCAGACGTAGTCGCGGGCAGCAGCTAGTACATGTAAAATATTTTATACCTCGCCGCGACGGGAAAATTTCAAAGCAAAACATAAAACCCAAATATAAAATAAACCATCTTTACTGAGTTCGATTTCTACTACTATTTCAGTGCTCGTTTCTTTTAAGGTTATTGCGTAAGCCCCTTTGCCATTTTGCTGCTAGCCAAGGGTCATAAAGTCAAGGCCTATATGTAATGTAAATATTCGAATGTATGTGGTTCTTAACGATAATGTTAATTATTATTTTATCTACTGAGAAATCATGTCACACATAGAACTTAATTTAGAATGGTTAGCTGCGTCGTACCATAAAACGTCTGCTCTTAGTATTTATGTCTTGCTAATGTTGTATGTAAATTGTAATTATATGTAATTGCATGAGGTGTACTTAAAGAGGATATTTAAATTATAGAATACTTGTAATTTCACCATGTGTGTACTTAATACATATTGTTTAAATGTTATGGACCTGAAAATCGTAACTTATTATTTAATTTTATAATATTATAATAAAGGTTAATGTGTTTGTTTGTTGTGTTACGCTTTCACGCCTAAATATAATAGAAGTGTATTAAAATAATCTATTTGCAATAAATCTTAGCAGTTTGTATTACATATTTGCAGTAATAAGTGCAATAGTACATATTTGCACTAATAAGAGCCGTGATAGCTCAGTGTCCGGGCGCTCGCATTTAATTCAATATACTCGAGCAACCTGAGTTCGATCCCCGGTGCCGGCACCAATAAAGTTTTTAACTTTAAGTGCTGACTTATCACGTGCTCCGCGGTGAACGAAAACACATGAGGAAACCTGCATATATTCGAAATAATAACAAAAAAAAAATTATTTCGAAGATATGTGAAGTCCGCCAATCCGCATGGTGGACTATGCCCTGATAGTCTAGAGTATAGAGGAGGCCTTTGCCTAGCAGTGGCACATGTATAGGCTGTTACTTTACTTTTAATAAGTGTTCTAATAAATTAAAAAATAACGCGGACGAAGTCTCGAGCAAAAGCTATAAAATTATAAATACTAGTATAGCATATAAAGGAACACTGGCTCCGTCAAGTGTGCATAGTCAATTATGTAATTACGCGTACAATTGAGAGGCGCTTACTCCGTTACCTGCGGTTGCCTTGGCGGCTTGGCTCGTTTTGCTGGTCATATTAGTTCACGCCCGCAAGTCATCGTTACGAATCGTTACGAACTGGGTCGTATTCAATCTTTAAATCTGTCGTTTGTAATCTCTCGTAAAGTGGTGTAGTGTTGTAGGAGGTAGCCCACGTACTAATAATAATCTCTTGCCTCGAAGAGCATGTCATTACAAACTATTGTAGACTGTTGAAAATTAACTGAAAGACGGAAACTACTCGTTCTCAATGCCAACGAATACAAAAGTAATTCGACCAAGTCATCAGGTATTTATGGCACCCTAAGCTTTAAGCCCTGTTACTTGGAAGAAGAGGGATGATTACGTGTTGTCTGATTCGTCGGTGTCATTTTAACTGCCAATCTGGGAAGATTATCCGATGCCCTTAGTTATAATCCCATGTAGAAGATAATAGAAGTGTATTAAAATAAGCTATTTGCAGTAAACCTTAGCAGTTTATATTGTGTATTACTTAGTTATAATCCCATGGGATTATAACTAAGGGCATCGGATTAGCCCATCCACGTTTGGACTACTATTTTGAAGAATCAGGAACTGCTTTATGAAAAGTATTTTGATATGATGTGTTGTGCAAACAAAGAACACATATTCATCTGTTTAAACTGTGCCCGGTTATGTAAGTAAAAAGTACCACTAAAACAAAAACCTATAAAAGTACAACCTATAAAAGTCCAGTTGTTGGGCAAAGGTCTCCTCTATACAGAGGGTATTAGGGCATAGTCCACCACGACGGCCCGACAGCGGATTGGCAGACTTCACATATCTTCAAAATATTTGGTATTGTTATTAATTCGAAAATATGCAGGTGCCCCCACGATGTTTTCCTTCACCGCTGACCACTTAAAATCATTAATTCCATTGGTGCTCGCACCGCGATTTGAACTCGGGTTGCTCGAGTAAATTGAGTTAATATCGAGGGCCCGGACACTGAAGCTATAGTGATGGGACGTGACTTAAATGGTGACGGGTGTTTATCGTGCAGGTTGGCTGACACGAAGGAGGGTGTCAGGGCGGCGGCAAGGGCGTGCGTCGCCGCCCTAGGGGAGAGCCGGGCGGCGGCGCCCCGCTCGCTACTGGCGCGTCTCACGCCCGCCCTGCAGCATAAGGCCGCGCACACACGCGAGGAGGCCCTACGCTGCATCGGCTCACTGCTGCACGCGTGAGTACATCCTTTGACTGGAGACTGCAGGTTGGAAGGGTTGTGGTACAGTGAGCGGCGTTATGAAAAGGTAGAGTAGGTAGACGCTTTTTTGACAGACTTATAGTTTTAGTTTATCGTTGTACTCTGCAGCAATGTGATAACATCCAGTTAGGAATCACACCGATCGGGGTTGTTCTGGTGCTGGAATGCTGTGCTGTGCACGACACGGTAACCAATCCAGTATTGTTTCTTTATTTCTTTGCCACTACCAAGTATCACAGGAGATCGGTGTGATGTGGAATCGCTTATGCGTTTCGTCTGATGAGTGACAGCAACCGGACAGCACTTTTTAATAGGTTGGCAACACATGCAGCCTCACGGCCACTGTAGACGTCCATGGGTGGCGGTCATCACTCATCAGGTGAACTGCTTGCTTGTTTGTCATGTCACTTAAAGAAATCAATGTGGTAGGGCCACGCAACAGTGTTCGCTGTTGCACGAATGGGCAGGTCCGTCCGGTTTAGTACCGCGACCCCACAGAAGACCGGCGTAAAGTTGAAGTGTTCTGCGTTTCGTCTGGCGAGCGAGGTAGCCGGGGCCCGCTTGATTAAAAGGTGGCAACGCATCTGCAAACTCTGCGCTGCTGTTGCAAATGTCCACGGGCGGCGGTTATCACTTAACATTAAGCGAACCGCGAGCTTGGTTCTCGCGCTCGCCTCAAACTTTCGGCTGCTATTTTGCTCCCCTCGATAGTTACCGACTAGTCTTTGCCCATTCTCAGGCACGGCGCGGCCGAGTTGCAGCTGCGAGCCGCCGTGCCCGGCCTGGCGGCGCTGGTGGGCGACCCCAGCAGCGCAGTGCGTGATGCCGCGATGCAGCTGCTGGTCGACGTATACCGTCACGTTGGTCAGTAAGTTTACTGCGGTGGGGTGACGTATCACAGTCTTCGGCTATTGCGCGACGTTGGCTGGGCAGGTCCGTCCGGGCGAGTACCGCGACCTCACAGAAGACCGACGTGAAGTGGAAATGTAACACTTGCCAGGTAGCGGCGACAGGGTAGCGAGGTAGCCAGGGACCACTTGATTAGCAACCCCACGGATGATGAAAATGTTAATGGGCGGAGAAAAGTAGAAATCTATTCTCCATTTCTTCCTTTACACAACTCGAAATACAATAACATCTTGTTTGAGCATTACAAACTTTTTTTTTTTGCTTTTGGATAATAACTTTTTTCGTGTAAATAACAGCCCATATACGATATTCATATCGTAGTGCTTAGGAAAATACATTGTTATGATTTCTCATTTATATGGAAGATATGCTGATCCTTTCCTTTATCACCAAGCACCTGCTACAATTGTGAAATGAAATTGCATTAAACTCTTTATAATTATGCACTGAGTTCTGACCCATATGCATATTAGACTCTAGGTCGGGGTTTTGTAAAGTTTTGACTATCGTAACGCAGGCGAAAGACTGAGGCAGGACTTGAAGAAGAAAGAACTGGTGCCGGCGCAGAAGCTGGCGTTACTCGAGCAGAAGTTCGACGAAGCTAGAGAGGCGGGACTGCTGTTGCCCACTGGTGAGTTACTTATACTCACCCAAGAACTCACACGCGCGAACAAACTTACACGAGCACACTACATGGGCACTGTATGAGTGTGGACGTATACACGCGCTCATACTCACACATTCACTCTTGCGCAAACACACACGCGTAAAAACACTAATACGTAGACCCATACTCACATCCGCGCACACTCTCTCACACACACACGTTTACACAATCTCACGCGTATGCGGATCGAAAAAGGTACAGTACATTACAAATAACATTTCCGTAGATCTTGACATACGTTACCAATGTGGTCGTAACATGTTGATGATTCATATTTAACACTGATGATGAAAATGTTAATGGGCGGAGAAAAGAAGAAATCTATTCTCCATTTCTTCCTTTACACAACTCGAAATACAATAACATCTTATTTGAGCATTACAAACTTTTTTTTTTGCTTTTTTCGTGTAAATAACAGCCCATATACGATATTCATATCGTAGTGCTTAGGAAAATACATTGTTATGATTTTTCATTTATATGGAAGATATGCTGATCTTTTCCTTTATCACCAAGCACCTGCTACAATTGTGAAATGAAATTGCATTAAACTCTTTATTAAAATGCACTGAGTTCTGACCCACATGCATATTAGACTCTAGGTGGGGGTTTTGTAAAGTTTTGACTTTTTGTGAATGCGTGTGACTCCAGCAACAACAGTTTTGCAGCTCTTGTGTTCCCCCCACAGCGACGCAGGGCTCCGACGAGACGGACGCGGCGGCGCGAGGGAGGCGCGCCCTGCCCGCCCCCGCGCCCCCGCCCCCGCGAAGGGACCCAGACTCGGGCGCCTCCACCCCCGGTTAGTACGCCCCACCCACACACACACACATACACACACAAGCTATCCCATACATAGCCGCTCCGGAGCCTACACACTGTTGACCCCTCCCCCCATCCCCGACACCAACTAGTGTTCATCTACAGATTTAAGTTTTGTTAACAATCGTGGATAAGTCTATAAAACATATCAGTGTTACACTTACATACTGTCATGTGGGATTCTGAAAAAAAAAAAAATAGGGAGACTCGTGAAAAAATGACACAGGCGTGTCGCGTCGAGATACGCTCCTGAGGATAGTGTTGCTTGTATACAACTTGCGTATATAAAGGTACGCTCGCGCGCACACCTGCGTACTCACGTCCGTGTACACGAGAATACTGACGGATGTCATCATATGTACTCGTGCGTACACATCTGTTTAGGTGTGCGTTTAAACGTGGCCTTAATCGAAAGCAACAAATTGAAAGTTCACAACCGCTTCGGTGAAATTTCTTTCACTGAGATCTAAACGCCCGAAGTCACGTCATCCGTACATTAGACTAACGACTCTTTCTTCTATGCAGAGCTTTTACCCGCGGAATATGTTGGGTTGTCAAAATCATATTACATTATTATCGAATTGTATCTTCTAAAACCTTATATTAATTTTTCATTAAGTTCAAGTTTCATCAATCAATTCAGTTTGTTCTTACGCTTGTATTAAGCTACTGCAGTATGATGTAATACACTTTCACTTTTTTATTTACCGGACAGTAAATTAACTATGAGTTCATATGATCCTAAAAATGCAAATTATTCAACTTCCATATGGCCTATATGGATTGGGGCATCGACTCTTATCACATGATGTTATTAATCATTGTTCTGTCTTTAACATATATATAATCTTCATTTTTATGTAAGTTCCTGACCGTCCCAATGAAGTAGTCGGTCGTGCTTATAAATAATAACATCTATACTGGGCCGTATACAGCGTGTCGTTACCATCGCGACAATAAATGAACACGCATATAGGGGATAACTTTTTAAAGCTGTATTAAACATTTAAATTCTTTAAACATCAATATTTACAGAGTTATTAAATTTTCCAAAACAAAGAATTTTAGAACACCCTTACATATAAAAGCGTAACGTAAAGTTCATTTGTAAAGGTCACAAAGCATACGAATGGGTTGAATGAATTTAAAAGAGACAAAACATACTGTTCGAAGGAGAGCCTTGTAATACGACGCTGTGGCGCGAGTTGTATAGGATGTTACAAATTTTGTTTCTTTTTTACTTAATTAGTTTGTTTGAAAAATATTTTTTTTTAATAATGGATTTTGTTTAACGTTAATATTTTTTTATGATTATTGGCAAGTAGCGTTAGAAGTGTCTTCATTTATTGTCGCGATGGTAATGACACGCTGTATAATATCAAGGCTATCTTCCTATACTATACGTTTTTTTGCTACGCAACATTATGCTCTCAACTAACTGCATACCGATCGCTGACTAACAAAACTATTCGCTCCTCTTCCATCATGCATCCGACCATCGTAACCATCACCGAACCGCCGCTCGCCACGACCACCGTACGACCACCGTTCGACCACCGCAACCACCGGTCGACCATTTCGCAACTGACGCACCGCAACGCAGCGTGCGAGCCAAAGCGAACTGTGGCCGGCCTGTACGGCCAACCGCCCGGCAGCAGGAAGCCCCCGCCGCCCGCCAAGCTGCCAAGCGCTGGCAGCGGTTAGTATGCCAACGGCCGAACTACACGCCTTACAAGTACCTTATCAACGGACTGATTGGTATTGATCTCATAGATGTGGCAAGTTGCCTAATGTGGTAAGACGGTTGGCATTGCCTTGCCACAACTTGCCATCGGTTGCATCGCATTTGATGGGAAAATTAAAAGAAGAAGCGCTGATTAGCTCCTATGCAGCATGATATATAAGCCGATTCAAACGCCAGGCCTTCACCTATTTTTAAACGGTTTTATTTAGCTCGACCCGTACGGAATTTGTTTATTTATTTGGGTCAAAATTAAAAATTTAAATTTAAGCACCTTCCCGTTGTCAGATTGATCTGAAATTTGGTACACACATTTAATTTAGATGACAATATAATATTGTAGTTTTCAGTGCACATAAAATAAAACCGTTTAACTTAAAAGTTTTTAAACGGTTTTATTATGTTCCGGTGCATGAGTTATTTAATAGACATAACATAATTATAATTTTTGAAAGAGGTTATAAATTTCCCTTTCTTACGGTTTGTATTTTGGATTGTTAAGAGAAGGTATTGGTATGATGCTGGATTTGTTATAATTCTGATATTCAATATAATTGTGGCAGGGTCACGTAACAGCCTTCTCTAATGGGCAGGTCCGTACGGGTAAGTACCACTACTTCGCACAGTACTGGAAGTGTACTGAAAGAGTAGTGGAAGTGTTATACTCGTGCGTTTTGTCTGTTGAGTGAGGTAACCGGAGCTCACTTTATTAGTAGATGCCGTCTCTAAAGAAGAAGGATTCATAGATTAACTAGCGGACCGGACAAACGTAGTCCTGTACGCACGACTTAAATTCGACAATTGAGAAATAAAAAAAAAATTGTAGTGCACCGAATTGTGAATTTAACCATTCTTGAATCGACCTTAAGACACACAAAAAATTTCATTAAAACCAGTCCAGCCGTTTAGACCGTTTAGTTGAGTGACATACACACGTACAGTAGAGTTATATATTATATAAAGATATCGCTGTCGGCAGTGTCGGGCGGGGGAGCGGGCGGCGGCGAGGCGGGCGCGGTGTCGGGCGAGGCGTTCGAGGCGGCGTTCGCGGCCACGGCGCCCGCCGCCGTGTACGGCGCGCGCGGCCTCGACGACCTCTGCCGCCACGCGGCCGCGCTGCTCGGCGACCGCGCCGCCGACTGGGAGCGCCGCGTCGACGCGGTACGCGCACGCACACACGCGCACCTACAGCGCACGCACACGTTCTCATTCACGCACACTTCACACGTGCATGCCAACGTACGCGTTCGCGCGTATTTACCACTCAGACGCGTACGTTCGCATTGACGCACACTTCACACGTATGCGTTTGCGCGCATGCACCACGCGTACGTTCGCATTGACGCGTACCCACAAACGTGCACGCACACGTACGCGTACGTGCACACGCACCTACGTACACGCGCACGTTTGAATTGACGCGCACCAACCAACGTGCACGCACGTCAACAAAATCAAACACACGTGTACTCATGGGAAGGGACTGCACACATACGGGAGGCGCAGTACTCATAGACATTAAAGAAGCGCATTATATAGTCACTCATGTACAATAATTCGAAATAGACCCGTGTAGTTTACATGTAGAAAGAATTGAATGTAAACGCCGAACAAGTACATTTAGGTTTTCGAATAGAAACACACTCCATTACGCTATGTATAAAAATAACATGACAGTGCTTTCTCTTCTCTCTCTCTGGTCACACATTCTTAAGCATTTAGACATTCAATCTCTAAGTCGCTGGTTCATATCCGGCTTGAAGGACCATGAAGAAGTTTGTACAGGGAGAGAGTTTATAAACATTCTGGTAAATGGTTTATTAACACTTATATTGTAAATGGTATAAAGAATACGCGGTATAAAAAATGGTATATGGTATTGGTCGGACGGTGGCGAGTCGCCGCCGTCACTGCCTTAAATTAGGCATACATATATGTACGTTAGTGTAATGTGCCTATGATGCACAAAGTGACAATGTCGCTGTTCGGTTGCGTAACTCCGAACACATAGCCTTTACTCGCCTCTATTCTCTTTAACATTTATAACTCCACCCCTAAAGGCCCATTTACACGATGCCATTTTCTTGTACATACAAGAGCAATAATTGAATGCAATAAATTGCGCGCAATAATTGTTAAGACCATTTGTTGTTTAGACCATGCAACTCATTTATTGCTTCAATTTAATTGTATACAACAGGCAAGAAACTGGCACCGTGTAAATGGGCCTTAAGCCTTGTATTCACATATTAAAACTGTTTACCTTTTCACTATTATAGATCATAAAACTCTACATCTATTCTTCACAGCTTCATCTCTACACATCAGACTTCAAATTTCAGATTTAAACTTACTTTCAAGAGACTCACGTGAAGCTTTCCTTGCAGTTAAAAAAGATCCGGTCACTCCTAACCGCGAACGCTCACGTCCAGTATCCGACGGAGTTCGCGGCTCACCTCAAAGACTTCTCTGTGCCTTTTCTAGTCGTCATCAAAGATCTAAGGAGCCAGGTATTGTAAATGAAACTAATTTTACTTTTAAGTGTGACAACCCGTAAGCAACCTTATTACCAGTAACATATGGTCGACTTCTCGCCGGATCCCAATCGACTACCTGCTTTGGGTCAGCGGCTCATCGAAGAACAATAGACGCCGAGTCCCTTAGCGATAAGAAGCGGACAGTGCAATTTTTATGCAATAATTAACGCACAACGTTATAAACACATACCTGGCTCATAATAATTTCTTGTATTTACGCGATTACACATTATAAATGAAACTAATTTTACGGATTTGTCGCGTTTGTTTAACTAATGACAAATCAGAAAAGTAACCACGGCTTTGAGTCTAAACCAGCAGAAATCACACTACGTTACAGGCGTGGAATGAAACTAATTTTACGGATTTGTCGCGTTTAACTATGACAATCAGACGTCTAACACCCTCAGTCTGTCCCGTGACCATGAACGCTGTAAAGGGTTCGAAACGTCGGGAATTAAAATTAAAAATAAACGCGATAAATCCGTAAAATTAGTTTCATTTATAATGTGTAATCGCGTAAATACAAGAAATTATTATGAGCCAGGTATTGTACAGACATTCAACTTTATATGTTACGTTAAAGCAAAAACTTATACAAGTCCCACTACTAGGCCAAAGCCTCCTCCGTACAGAGTATTAGTATCAATTTTTCTAAAAATTTTAATGTTTCATCTTTAACAACTTAATAAAAACTTAATATAAAAATTAAATTTCAATAGCAAATGCGACACTTCTCGTTCGTATCATCGTTGTAAGACGATATTTGTAAATGTTTATGTGCTATTAAGAACTAAACACTTGCTATTACTTTATAGTACTTTTATATAACTAAACATTTACTATTACTTTATGGTTTGTTTCTTGGTTTATACCAAGCATTGCTTAAAATTCCAAAAACAAAGTCCATATAAAATACCTTGAGATTATCGTCAGCATGGTAATCAGCTTAGTGGTTAAAGCGTCTTGGTGAAATTCCAGAAGACGCGGGTTCGAATCCCGCTGCAGCGAAAAACTTCGCTAATTTTTTTTTACAGATATTAATATAAGAGTCAGAGCGATTCGGAGATAGATTGCGGAGCTCCCATATCTTTGAATTTTTTTATTATTTTACTGTTATGAAAATAAAGCCAGTTGACTCACGATGTTTGTCATCACTGAGCTTAGCACGTAGCCGTACCGCAATTAAAATTGCAATTAATTGAGTCATTAGTGCAGGCAACGACATTTGAATTTAGGTTGCTCGAGTGTGCTAAATTAAAAGTGACCGCTACGACCCTCTGATATCAAGGCTATTAAGATTCTTTTTGTTCTTTAGCCATAAAGAATTCTTTCGTCCGAGGAAGATTTCAAAAAAGGTTAACATATCAGATATAAAAATTTATAACCCTTGGTTCCATAATATACCAAACGCAAAAATTAAATACACTTTAACCCCACTTAATGGATACGAAATGCCATCAATTACAGGTGGTTCGTGAAGCTTGCATCACGATTGCCCACATGGCCAAAGTGCTGAAGAACAAACTGGAACAGTTCAGCCTGTACATACTGCAGGAGCTCATCAATTTGATACAGAATGCTGCTAAGGTAACGTTGTTGTTAAACCGCTATTAAATACAGAGGCGATGTAAATTTTCAATAAAGAAAGCCGCGTTCGGAAACGTCATTTCATCATCATCATCATCATTTCAGCCTGTTTGAGTCCACTGCTGAACATAGGCCTCCCCATTTATCATTATTTAGTTAACTACCAAAAAAATTCGTTAATTTTAGTAGTAAAAAAATAAGTACTGAAATAAAGAATGAAATAAATGTAAAGATAACGTAAGTATTTTATCGTCACAATGTTGTAGACATTTGGTCGGGAGTTGGGATTCTGCTGTGGCTGAAAGATTACTAGCTACTCGATTGTCGGTACAAGTCTTAACAACGATTGATTTGAGCTTAATATTGGTACGGACCTTTAACATATTTAGTATGGCCTGTTTTATGCCGTGGCATGTCACCCGATCTTCCACCAAGTCAAAACCTGAAACCGCACGGGTGCGCTGACTAGACCGAACGGCAACTGTTGTTCTCGCGCAGGTGGTGTCGTCGGCGGGAACGGTGTGCCTGCGCTACATCGTGACGTACGTGCACTCGCCGCGGCTCATCCCCGTCCTCACCACGAACCTCACCACCAACAAGTCGAAGGAGATTCGCTCATCGCTCAGGTAAGAGGCACAGTTCCCGCTACTACCACCCAAGCGACGGTTCACCAGATGTTAAGTGATACCGCCGCCCGTGGACGCTTGCAACACCCGTAGGGTTGCAGACGCGTTGCCACCTAATAGTGAAGTGTGCCCCGGCTACCTCACTCGCAGAACATACACAGATGAAACGCAAAGGTATGACACTTCCACTTCGCGCCGGTTTTTTTGTGAGTTTGGGTAATTTCTCGGACGGACTGCCCATTCGTGCAACAGCCGAAGCTAAAAAAATTGAAATTTAGATAATGACAGGCTACAGATATCTTTGTAACTAAAACAGTGATGGAAAGATATAATAGCCTATGTATGTATGTTCTTTAGTTGAGGTAGTATTATTATACACAAATGTTATAATGCGAACTAGCATAGTAAATAAAGAAAGTGTAGTATCATCGTATACATAATAGCATTGTCATGTAGAAACTGCATATTTTCGAAATAATAACAGAAAACAATATTTCGAAGGTATGTGTCCCAAACTAAGCGACGCTTGTACTATGGTTAGTAGATAAACGTACCTAAACATACTTTTCATTTTGTAAATAAATACATATTACAAATATTTATACACCCGGAAAGTAGTGGCGAACACCACCGAGCTCACACCCACTGGCGCAGGAGGCATGGTCACTCCCCACTACGCTAGTGGGAATCTAACCCACACCCTCTGGCGTAGGTGGTAGAGTCACTACCCCCTACGCCAATCTGGTCGTGGTGATAAATTGGAAGTGTTTCGTCTGCCCCCAGCGAGCTGCTGGTGCTGGTGCTGGAGCGCTGGGCCATCGGCACCGTTGAGAAGCAGCAGCAGGTGGTGAGGGACGCCATCAGGCGGGCGTGCGCCGACGCCGACAGCACCGCCAGGAACTACGGCCGGAGGTGACGACGGCTCGCATGTGTTTCTCTAGTGGAGTCTGCTATATTCAAATTCAAATATCTGCATACAATGTAGAAGCAATAATCTTACTTAATGATTGTCAAAATACTAAGAGTAATATCGGTTCGGAATAGCCACACGCATGAGAAGAACCCTCGAGAATTTTAAGATTCTTATTCTATAAAAATTAAAAAAAATCACATTTATTCCAATTTTAAGTTCTCACTTCCATCAGCAGGCCCCGTGACTGATTAAAAAAAAACCTAATTTCCCACTTTTAAGTTCAAAGGTGCTATGAGGATCTCTTAGTTCTTGTCGATTGTATTAATATAGTTAGAAAAGATACTACAACATACAGTACAATGATCAACTTTAATTCTCTAATATAAGGTCGTTACAAGCGCAATGTTCAAAAAAAAATGTTGCCCTATAAAATGTATTGACACATTACAATGTTGCCACACAATTGTATAACGAAACAGTTCAACAACAAAGAATGTTGGCCTTATAAAATGTGTACTGCACGCTTGACACGTTTCAATGTTGCCGTTTAATGTTTGCCAACGCTGACGATATGGAAACACGCAGGGCGTACTGGGCGTACAAGCGTCAGTTCCCCGAGGACGCGGAGCAGCTGTTCACCCGCCTGGACCCCGGCGCCCAGAAGCAGATCGAGAGGGAGAGGGTCGGCAGCGTCGACAGCCTGCAGCACGTCGGCACCGGTTAGTAGGAGAAACCGCTTAGATCCACTCCCTACTTGTTATATCACAAGTGCATAAATATAGTGCATAGTCACACATCTAAGTGATAGCTTTTAATAGACTAATGTTTCGGACATAGAGTATTGAGTCTTTGTGCTCTCCCGCGCGGCAATTTTTATCGAATTGCATTCGAATCCGTTCAGCCGAGTAGGCGACACGTAGTCTTAGTTTTTCACTCCACTAAGTGATAACCTTTAATAAACTAATAGTTATGGACAAATAGTCTTATGTCTTGGTGCTCTCTCGCGCGGTAACTTTCTGAATTGCATTTGAATCCGTTGAGCCGAATTTAAAACACGCATGTGAACATGCGCATGCCTTAACCACAGTTCGTAGAGGACAAAATCGTTGCAATTACGCGGAGCTTTACGTAGTAGGTGGCTCCGTGGCGCAGTTGCCAAGGTATTGGCTTCGGCGTCGGGGGTCGTGGGTTCGATTCCCACACGCTACAACTGTTTATGTTGAGACCCACAAATAATTGTTTCGTAACTGGGTGTTTGTCCGCGTGACATTTATGCATGCTAAATGTCCTCACAACACAGGAACCAATGGCCCCAATGCTAAGTACTGGCAACACTCGGCGGTCTTCCCTGGTCATCATATGCCTCGTTGGCTCAAACGCCTACTCTTTTTTTTATTTAAAAAAAAATGTCCCAAGTAGTAAACGTGAAATTAGTTTTGTAACTGATGATTTCATCTCAAATAGATCTGGCTTGGTAGAACCATAAGTTGCAGAAATCTCAATGATAGATAATTTTTTTTAAATAAGGTATGAAATATTCGTTTTATGTGTCCTTTATTGGCTTCCGGTCAACGCTATGATAAATTCGATATAAAAAACAGTACAGGAACTGGGATATACATTGAAATAAATTTTGTTCACGTATTAATTTATTAACGTACAAAACACTTGGTGCATGAATTTATTACAATAATTGCATGAACATTCCATATTAAGCCGCCTAAAGAGGAAGCATTTTGTGAAATTTCCATATAGTATAAGAATACATGATTATGTCTATTGTTACTATAGTGACTAAGATTTTGATGATTTTTTATGATGTTGACAAATAATATGTTTATTACAAAATAGAATATTATTTTTTTATACGATATGTTTTTCTTGTAACACTTGTTATTAATGTACCTTGCTATTTGTTAATAATTAACTAATATTTAAAACTTTTGTTCTTGCCCTAATATATTCGTTAAGTTTTTATCAATAAATGTGTATATATAAATATGTATCTTTTTATTTTGTTTAGTTCTGCTTTTAAAAATAGTATAATGACCGAATTATTTATAATAACATTTCATAGACAAAAACCTCTGATTATATGCTAATCCAACACCAAAGCTCTAAGCTGCCTCAAGTTATATATACTCGCACATAGATATTTCCATTGCATGGCTAAGTATTGAGAGTTTTGTTGTTTACAGTAATAATTTTGATTATACAACTAAATGAAATGTTTTATTCAGTTCTAGGAAAATCTTTTACAGAAAAAAAAAACTGTAAGATTACTTTGAAAATAGTTTTGATTGATAAAAATGTTTAAGTAGAGGAAAAGTGTTATCAAACTAGTTATCTGTGTGTCACATAAACAGTTGTGTCGTACGAGAATCGAACCCCCGACCTCCGTCAAAATGTAGAAGCCAATACTTTAGCAACTGCATCATAGAGTCATCATATAAGATGCGGTACACGACTAACTTAAGCCTTACTATGAAAAAATAACAAAGAAGTACAAGTAATGTCGATTCAGATAAGCTTAAAGAGCTGTTTCATAAAAAAATATTGACTAAACGGAAATCCATAACAGTTGTAAATTTCATTTTAGAGAGGAGAGCGATAACCAGCCCGAGGAGTCCATCGGCAAGTGTTTCGGGTAAGTCGATGAGTGTGCATAAGAAAAAAAATACTATTAAAAAATAAAAAAATATTTAAAAAAAAATATTGATGAATATGGTATTTCTTTCCACGCCTCCCATTCGGATACATTGGGTTTGAACAATCTTTGCTATCTCTTTCTTACTTCCATTAACAATTGAAAGCGTCGACGGAAAACCTGGTATCCGGCGTGAGCAGGACCAACTCACTTAGACGAAGACGAGCCTCCCAAGAGAGGCCTCCGATATCGCACATTCCCGTAGCAATGAGAGGTCTATCTATATTTGTATAATTATTATATCCGTACCGCTTTGTTGTAGTCATATTTTGCTTAGGAAAATTTGTTGCAATAAGCATGATTCCGTTTCAAATAGAATTGACGAATGGCGTACGAAAATTAAATTTGTTTCGCTATTTTGTCATACACTCGCATTGAATTAGTTTAGAAACTACTTTGGAAAATGTACACTTATCTGTTTTGGCTGCTTTAACCGAGGGCAATGTTCTTAACACGTTCCTTAGAAATAAATCTTAGTCATACGATAACGATGCTTGGTTGTAACTGAGATTTACAAGAACCACGATTGAAGAAGTTTCACCGTCATTATTACTACAATTTTCTGATTTCGACATTGGGTTTATTACTTAGAAAAACTTTTATCTGGTTTACGAAGGACCAAATTTGGGATGTGATTTCAATATTGGAATCAAAATTCCACTAATCGTCATAAGTAGCTTTTTGATTAATGCAAATTTACACATAAATATCAATGATTTGTTTTATATATTTTTTTTTTAATTAGTAAACAATTAAATAGGCCACCTATATAACTATAAACTTACGTTGCGTCGTATTTCGTTTACGAAGTATTTCGTTACGAATAACTGTAAATTTCTTATTCACACCTACGTGTTATTAATGTCTATTGTTTAGTTATTTTTTACGAGTGTGGCGTGCATTTCCGAATCTCGGTCTTTATAACAATCCTCGGTGCGAATAAACACCCAGATTCGGAACAATTATTTGTCCATACTTAGCTTGTGCGGGAATCGAATTGACGATCTCCGACCCAACTGCTTAGCAACTTCACCACTGAGTCTTATAACTGAATAAAAATAACTGTAAACTCATCCTTATTTATTAGCACTCGAGTAGAGTTTACACTAGAGTCTATATGAGTTTCGTTTTGACATTTTTATTTGCATACTTTTATGCAACTCTTACTCAGCAGAATTGTGATGACCCTCCTCCTGTATATCACCGTCTATTATTCCACCATTTTTTCTGCTGACAATGTGTAAAGCGGAACGGCTGCTTAACTGGATATACGACATTCACTAGCTGCATGCGAGACTAGCTTTACGCCCCGGTCCCACCTCCTGCTTAATTGGACATTCGACTCCCACTACCTGCATGCGAAAGCGAGCTTTACGCCCGGTCCTGCTAGGGATGTCGAAATTGAATAAATACATCGATATTTACAAAAGATATTAATATCGTCTAACTGAGCCTAAATATTTTTAGTCTCCGTCAAAAAAAAATGTATGTCAAGTAATTAAAGTATTAAATATTCCAATCTACGGACTCTGTGCCGGATTCGAATTTTGAAAAACATCGTTTTTGGTACGATTTGGATATTGAATATTTTATATCGATATATCTGGATATTGTTTCGACATCCCTAGGTCCCACCTCACTCACCCTCGCCCCTCGGCCCGCAGAGCGTTCGCCCAGCGCCGCGGCGGGCGCCACCGCGCGCAGCGTGTCGGCGCTGGACGCGGCGGCGGCGCAGCGGGCGCGCGCGCGCGCGATCTACTCGCACATGAGCCGCGCCAAGGTCACCGCCGGCACCGCCTCCCTGCGTGAGTGGACAACCTCTCGCCTTACTTTCACTATCTTTATCCTATGAATAATTGTCACAAGTTGAAATGATTGTGCCTCCCTCGTGTCATGACTTTGTAGCCTACAGTATGTCATGTTGACTCGCTTGTGTCATGACATGTCGTCTATAGTACGTTATTTTACATTGTCATATATAATTCGTTATTTTGACTCAACTGTGTAATGAGGACAAGTAATAACTTGTCTTGTTTACTCGCTTGTATTATGACTTGTTACCTACACTACGTCATTTTAACTCACCTGTGTCATGACTTGACGTCTTTAATACGTCATTTTAACTCGACTGAGTTATGACTTGTTGTGTATAAAACGTTATTTTAACTCGCCTGTGTTATGATATATCATCTATAATACGTTATTTTGACTCGACTGAGTTACGACTTATCGCCTGTAATACGTAGCTTTGACTCATCTTGTGTGATGTCCTGGCGTAATACGTGATACAGAGTAACGTAACGACAGAGCGATATAAATTCTTATTGGAGACCTTATTTCTTACACCCAGATTCCAACGACCACGTTGGAGCCAACTTGGAATTGTGGACAACTGGTTGAGCGATAATTCATGTGTTAATTTGACAATACTTTAACCATAATAAGAGATTGCGTCTGGCACGACTTTGATTATGCTATGACGTATAACACGTGAATTCATAACATTGTATGACACAGTTCTTGTGTCGAAACGGTTATTTGTTTTAATTTCTAAAAAAAATGTTTAAATAAATGTTATATTTAAATATGTTTATATATGAGAATAGTAATAAGTGATACTATGTTTATTTGCAAATCTGAAGAAGGGGAAGTGGCACAACAAGGTACTTTAAAAAATATTCGTCGATGTTAGCTGCTTTGATTTTTTTTTTCATTTATTTCCGCGTTATAAATTTTTTCATTCTTAAATAATTTATTCTAATGTATTATATGTCAAAAAACAAGTCTAGATATTTATAGTTATATAATTTCATTCAAATCATTTTTGTTATTTAATTGGTTTTTTTTTAATGTAACAGAGAATAACCAAAGTTTTTAAAAACCCAAAATGGTAATGTCATTGCTATAGGTTTTATATAAATCATTTATATGATAGTATTTTAATTAAAACAATGTTGTGAATTATTGTTTATAGCTTAGTATATTTATTTTTCATTTTCACTCGCACAATTAACACATTTCTGAATTTACCAAAGCACACAAGTCCACAAAACACAGTAACTTAACGGTCATTATTTATACTCACTAGTTTTTTTTTTTACATTTTATATTAATTTTGTGTGTTAAGTGTTGTGTTTATCGTAGAGAAAGGTTTTGCATTAGCATAAAATAACAGTTGTACTCATCAGCAATTTTCAGTTTTCTTGAACCTAGGATCAACTTCATATTAGGATAATTATCTTAATATATTTCGTTTTTATACATATTTATGTTGAAACACAAATATATATGAATCTATAAAATCAGAGGATGTGGAAGGATTGAGAAATTTGCAAATTGTTCCCTGCTGATAGAACAGGTACGTCTACATGACTAAGTGATGTTATATAGTTGATCTAATATAAGAAATACATTTTGACAGTTCTCTGATAGACTTGTAAAATGATGTAATTCAAATATTATTAAAACACCCTTTAGTTCCGGGTGTTTGTTCCCAAGTAGGGTTGGACTATTTAGCCAAGAAAAATCTGATCCGTCAAAATACATTTCATAGATGGATTCTACGTGGAATTGGCTTGAACATAAGATCTGTCCTATCAGTAAAAGAAATGATACAATAGGAAAAATATGTTTGGTGTGTTTTAAAAATAAATGAAAAGATAGACTGTTGTATCTAAAGCAATGTAGCTTTAAATACAGCTGTTAGTCTTCTTGTAGATTCATTAGAATGGTCGACAAATAACAGTTGGCCGTCATGCGTAAGATTGTTCGTTAGCGATTAGGGTTGCCACCCGAGCTTATTAGCCCATTCGCTTTTTGCAGCCCGCGCCAAGCGCTCGCCAGTGGGCGCGGCGGTGCCCCCCAGCCCTGAGCGCAGCGCCGCTCGCTCCCGCTCCCGGCCGGGCGTGTCTCAGTCCCAACGTGAGTATTTATACACCTCGAAGTAAACTGCTGGCCTGTTACCCTAAATTTAACTCTAACAATAATGATTATCTTATCTTATCTTATCTTAACAAATAATAGTTCACTGTAAAAATGTTGTATCTGGCTCAAAGTACCGCATTGGAAATACATGTAAAATCAAATGGTTACGTGTAAAAAGATTACGTGAAAATCAAATCCATTAAAAACTACATATTCTACTACCAGTTCACCGGTTTTAATCATCCTCATAAGTCATAAAAGAACAGGAATGACACTGCCCCAGACATTTGCAACACATAAATACCATTAATTGGGCCCCAGCTACCCCACTCGCCGGACGAAACGCAGAAGTGTAGCACTTCCACTTCACGCAGGTCTTCTGTGAGAGCTGTCACGGCCCTACATGTAAGTTGGAATGACGAGTCTTAAACGAAATGCTCCCCCCGCAGCCACATCCCGGTCGTCGTCGCCGTCCGCGCGCAGCGGGCCGCTGTCGCTGTCGACGCGGCGCCGCCCCTCGGGCATCCCGCGCTCGCTGGCCGGCTCCAGGGAGACCAGCCCCACCAGGTCTCTACCCTACCTCTGCACCGCTCGACCCTGGCCTGGGTCCCTCGGCCACCGCTCTTTTGGCGGCCGAACGTCTTCAGCCCCAGCAACTTGTTAAACCTGCACCGGTCGATCTCGGTTTAAGCCGCTCTTGAAACGCAGCACTTGTGGGGACCACCGAACGTCTTCAGCCCCACCAATTTGCTAACCCTTACACCGCTCCATCGCAGACGACCTATACACCGCTAGATCGTTCAGCCGTTAGAGAGTTTTCTCCAAATGCAGCACCTAGTTGGGGCCAACGAGACGTCACGGAGTGAACTCACCTCCACTAAATTTTAAAGTTTTTTATAGTGCTAATCTCTGCACTTAAGATTGAACATTAAAACATGTAGAAAAAGTACGAACAGATTGTCGCCGCTGTGGGAATCGAACCCACGTCTTCGGCATTCGCGGCCTGACGCTCTAGCCACTGAGCTAAACGGCTGATAGTCACAGCGACGAAAATCTTAACGCCTTCTTTTTACATTGTTATTTAGCATTTGGTCTATAATCGTTTTGTCGTGCAAGTCCGTTCACTCAAGATGAAATTTGAGTTTTGCTGAATCCACTCTCCCTAGCCCTCGAGCCTCACTATGCGTAATTATAAAAAAGTATTATAATGCTGCACTTATGGTTAGCTTAGCTTAGCGGTGCAAGGATCTGGGCGCGAATTCGGAAGACGAGGGAGGGGATTCCCGCAGCGTGGAAGAGTTTTGGTTAATGCCTAACTTTTGGTTGCACAGAAGCGGCCGGTCGAGCAGCGCGCTGGGCGGCGCCAGGCGGCGCGAGTCGGCCGGCCGGGCGCCCGCCGCCACCCTCAGGCTGCTGCAGCAGTCCAGGGACGCGGAGGCCGCGCTGCGGGTGCGGATGCGTTCCGGCCGTGGGCTCCATGCCCACTGCTGGAGATAGTATTATGAACGAATGGCCAGGCTTTTCCGGGGAAGTACCGCGTAGCGTCACAAATGCCTAGATAGAAGTGGAAGTGTTATACTTTTGACTTTCTTCTTGTCAGTGAGGAACCGGGGACTAATTTTTGTTGTAGATGTCCATGGGCGACGGTAATCTTGTGAACTTCGGTAACATTTATCATCACGTGAACCGCTTGTTCGCACAACTTCACATAAAAGTCATTGAGTCACATCGTGCAACAGTCTTCACTGTTGCACGAAGGAGCAGGTCCGTCAGGGTAAGTAGTGTGAGTTCGTGGTCGCAGAAAACCAGCGTGAAGTGGAGGTGTTACCCTTCAGCTTTTCGCCTAGTGAGTGTGGTAAAGTGGCAAAGCATCTGCAACACTACGGGTATTGTAAATAGATGTCGATAGATGGCGCTCAAAAAAATCTCGACATGTATGTTTTTTTATTGCATTTGTAACAATGGTCTTTTAGTGAGTAAAGCGCCTGGGCGCGACACCTGAAGATCCTGCAGCGCCGAAAGTTTTCGTACATTTATCTACAAAAAAATCACAATGTAAAAACAACTCTGAATAGAAACGATTGCCGTTATGACTTATAAACCTTCTCACTCCTCCCAGAGCCCCGAAGACAGCTCCGCTTGCGACGACCGCCGACGCGACGACGACTCCGAAGCGTCCAGCGTTTGCTCCGAGAGGAGCCTCGACTCGTACAGAAGGCACGACGTGAGTACACCACATCTCCTGAGCAGCCCCTTAAAGAGCTCAATCACTTACCAGCAGTAACAGCTATTTAATCGTTATTTGCAACTGTTACAGAGCTCGTGGTCCCGCTGGGAGGGCTCCCCGCCGCCCCCTCCCCCGCCGCCGCCGCCCGACGACATCATCGCGCTCTGCGCCTGCATTCACTGGACGGAGCGCAAGGACGGCCTCACGCATCTGGTACTCCGCCCCACTACCGTTTCTTCTTCTTTTTCTCCACTCCCAAACTTGTGACTTGAGCAATGCTTGTACTATCGGTACTAGATAACCGATAAACATACTTTTCTTTGTAATAATGACCGATCACAGAATTGACATTTATCCAAATAATGTATTCATTAAATTATTACAGGCACTTATGAGTTAAAATTAAAAACATTAATTGGCTTCATAAATGTATTGTTCCATGTTTTAAGCAAACAAATGTTGCTATTACTATTATGAATTATCCATTATTTGAATACTTAATTAATGCAGTTAGTTAATGCAGTCTGTCAAATATTAATAAATAGAATTATTACGCTAACTTCAAACGAAGTTTACTCTTGAATACATCAGCAAACTTTGTAATTTTTAAACTTCATAAATAATAAATATAAATAAATAATATGATAAATTTATTTGATGTATCCAATTTACCAAGTAACCTGACTGCGGATTAAAGGACAAAAAAATTAAATACTAATCTTTAATGGCCGGTTTCAATATTATATCTACAGATAGATTTTGTTACTAGCGATAGGTATTTGATGCAAATGTGCGGGAAGTCGATAGATGCAGGTGGCCCAGTAGGCTATGTGGCAGCCTGTAGGAGAGGCCTTCAGCAGTGGACTCATACGGACTGAAATGATAATTTTTTTATATGAAAATTTGTTGGTATATAAAAAAATGATGTTAAGTGAATACCGCCGCCAATTGACATCTGCTACACCCGAGTGTTCCAGATGCGTTGACAACCTTTTGAAAATTGGACTACTGGCCACCTCACTCACCAGACAAAACGCGAAAGTATTATACTTTCACTTTACGCCTTCACTTTCAGTCTTCTGTGAGGTCGTGGTACTTGACCGGACGAGCCTGCCCATTCGTGCAACAGCCGAGGCTGCTGCGTAGCGCTACCACCGATGAACAACGATTAATGACATAATGAGTGACGCGTTGTCGATCGGCAGGCGAACTACCTGAACAGCGGGCGGCTCCTGAGCGAGGAGCAGCTGCGCCGCCTGACCGAGCTGCTGAACAAGATGTTCGTGGACGCGCACACGAAGGTGTTCTCGCTGCTGCTGGACGCGGTGTGCGAGCTGCTGCTGGTGCACTGCCAGCAGCTCAAGGACTGGCTCTACCAGCTGATGTTCAGGTGACGCCGCGCCCCACCTCTACCGGCTGTTGTTCAGGTGTTGCCCCTCCCGCCTGGGCTCTACCAGCTGATGTTCAGGTGACGCCGCGCCCCTCCCCTCGCCCACGTGGCTCTACCGGCTGTTGTTCAGGTGTTGCCCCTCCCCCCTCCCCTGGCTCTACCAGCTGATGTTCAGGTGACGCCGCGCCCCTCCCCTCGCCCACGTGGCTCTACCGGCTGTTGTTCAGGTGTTGCCCCTCCCCCCTCCCTTGGCTCTACCAGCTGATGTTCAGGTGACGCCGCGCCCCTCCCCTCGCCCACGTGGCTCTACCGGCTGTTGTTCAGGTGTTGCCCCTCCCCCCCCCCCCCGGCTCTACCAGCTGATGTTCAGGTGACGCCGCGCCCCTCCCCTCCCCTCCCCCACGAGGCTCTACCGGCTGATGTTCAGGTGACGCCCCGCCCCGCCCCTCCCCTCCCCCACGAGGCTCTACCGGCTGTTGTTCAGGTGTTGCCCCTCCCCCCACCCCTGGCTCTACCGGATGATGTTCAGGTGACGTATAATCACGATGGTCAGTGTAGGAATTTAGGGATCTCCAGAACTTGATATAAAACACTTGATATAGTTTCGAACAACAGTATCGTCCGAAAATTAATAAACCACTCGATAAATGACAACGCGTGACATGCTAGATGACTGACAGCGAACTGCGAACAGAACGCCGATTGTTTTACACTAAAACACAAATGATGAGGCGTGCAGTTGATTGCCGCTTTGTAATTATGTCGAGCGTAGCTCGTACAACCAGTCTGAGCGGTGGTGTCACAGCTCTGATGTTGCACGATTGGGCAGGCTCGTCCGGTGACATACCACGACCCCACAGAAGACCGGCCTGAAGAGGAATTACTTGTTTGCGTTTCATCTAGGAAGGTATTTTGTGTGGAACATTTCCTGTGGAGGGTGTTGGATAAGTCCCGACGACCACTGCAACCTGGAAGATTTATTGTAGACTTCCCTTCGTAAACATTGCACTCTTACTGTGGGACGACAATCACCCAGATTCGAAGCAGTAAACGTAGGAGTAGGTAAACTTGACATCAGTTGAACCTCTTACTATTTATGACAGGTATAAAACTCTTACAGAATACATTGAAGACCAAGATACTTGGATGTGTCTGTGCTCGCAAATATATTTTATAATAGTAAAGTTCTAAGATGTCTGACACTATCATGAGAAATATTTTTTTTTTTAATTAAATGCAAGTTGCCCTGTATAGGTTTTTACCTTAATAGCGTCTACATAGAGGAGTCATATACAGTTTTTCAGTGATATCTTTTTGTTTTCTCAGACTGCTGATGAAACTCGGAACAGACATCCTGGGCTCCGTGCAGAGCAAAATTATGAAGACACTTGACGTTATACACGAGTGCTTCCCCGCCGAGCTGCAGTTGCACAATATATTTAGGTGAGCTATAGATCGAATTGGATCTGAGTAATACTTTATTTATAAGAAATTTTTAATGAAACTTAAAACATTCGTTTCTATGAAGGTAAAATTTGAATGTAAACAATCTCATTACCAATCAGTTCATTTCAGGCAAATTATAACTTTAGAACGTTCTTTCGTAGCATTTGGATTTTAGGGCAACTGACCAATGTACACATGGACTATGGTCTACTTATTATCTTAGGTCCGCTTTTTTCATTGCTATAGAAAGAGTTTTGGGCAAATTTTATTATAAATTATACATTTACTTAATACTTATTTTAACTTGCACGAACGCATAATGAACTCGTCCATTGTTCCACTTTGTAGCCTACGGATGACATAATAGTAGTCGTATAATGTTTAATTGCTACTGAAATTGAGCCGAACATGGTGTGGCAGGTTCCTGGCGGACGGGGCGGCGGCGCCGACGGCCAAGAGCAAAGCGGCCGCGCTCCGATTCCTGGCCGATTTGGCGCACGACTATTGCACGCACAACAGCCTCGCCGTTGCCCTGCACGGTGAGTCGATATCGCTGTCCCTTTCCCGCTAAACGAGTGGGGAGAGTAATTTGCCCACCGGTGTGGGTTTAACCTCTAATTTTCTTAATCACAGTAAGCGAGAGAAAGAAAGAAGAACTGTCGTACCATACTATTAGATTTTTTTAATCTGAAAAATTAGCAGGCGGCCTTAAGTGAATATCGCCTATTGACATCTACAATGCCTCAGGGCCCATCCGCCCATCCCCATCCACCGGACGAAACGCAAAAGTATTATACGTCCACTTCACGCCGGTCTTCCGTGAGCCCGTGGCACCTCTTCAGACACCCTGCCCATACGTGCCACCACGGCTGCCGACAGTTGTGGCCGAGCAAAACACCCCAGTGACAGACGTGACGCATGGCGTTGCAGGCGGCGCGAGCGGCGCCGCGGGGCGCGCGCTGTGCAAGGTGGCGGCGATGGCGGCCGACCCGCGCGGCGGCGACGTGCGCACCAGCGCGCGCAGGGCCCTCGCCGCGCTCTACGACCGGAACCCGGTGCCCGTGAGTACAAATGAGTACCCACATCCGTCTACAAACAAAATTTATAACATCCTATACAACTACAACAGAGACTTTCATTCGTTGCCACAGCGTCGCATTATAAGCCTCTCCTTCTAACAGTATGTTTTGTCTCTTTCAAATCCATTCAACCCATTCATATAATTTGTGACCTTTACAAATGAACTTTGCGTTACAGTTTTATACGTAAGGGTGTTCTAAAATTGTTTGTTTTGGAAAATTTAATAACTCGGTAAATATTGTTGTTTAAAGAATGTAAATGTTTAATACAATTTTAAAAATGTATCCTTTATATGTGTGTTCATTTATTGTCGCGGTCGTAACGTTACGCTGTGTATATATATATGCAGTACAAACAATCAGACGAGTGCGGTTTCTTTTCAAAATGTCTACTCTCGTATGAGTATACGTGATGAATCTAAAATTGTGTCGCCACTTGCAATTTAATCCGGCTCGAAAGACCACATTAAGGCTGACGGCTAAAATGGTCTCTCCAAAATGTCAACTTTCATATGAGTATACGTGGCCATAAGTGTAAAATTTCATAGCTGCTTGCATTTAATCCGGCTAAGTATGGTCCTTTCAAAATGCCAACTGATTTATGTGTTACGGACGGAAAGACAACCTGACGGATAGCCAAATCTAGTCTCCTTCCAAAATGTCAACTGTTATAATAATGAGTATAAGTGGCATGGTGACCACATTAAACACGCATTTGAAAGCTATTGATATTTTCTTACTAAATGCATTTTTATCTCTGCTTGGGTTGAACAACTAAAATAAAAAACAAACAATTGAATAACTTTTCTAAAAGCCTGTATCAAACAACATACCACAAAAAACTAAAACGTAATATTACATTATTAATAATTAATAAATCTTTTAAATAAATATTTTACGATTTTCAGTTTACATCGCTCATGAGCGACCTGCCAGCGGATACTCAAGCCCTGGTCAACAGTGTGGTCCAGCAGCATGTCCGGAGAACCTCAAGTAGTGAGTATACACAATTCTCTACATAAATAATATTATTAAAATAAACATAAACTTGAGAGCCGTGATAGCTCAGTGTCCGGGCGCTCGCCTTTAATCCAATATACTCGAGCAACCTGAGTTCGATCCCCGGTGCCGGCACCAATGAAGTATTTAACTTTAAGTACTGACTTATCACGTGCTCCGCGATGACGGAAAACATCGTGAGGAAACCCGCATATTTTCGAAATAATAAAAAAAAATATATTTCGAAGATAAGTGAAGTCCGCCAATCCGCAGTGGGGCCACTTGGTGGACTATGCCCTGATACCCTCTATATAGAGGAGGCCTTTGCCCAGCAGTGGGACATGTATAGGCTGTTACTTTTTTTGTTACTTTAAACATAAACTTTGTAAATTAATTTGATTTTGAAGTTGAAGTGTAAATAGCTAAAGAGGGTCATCTCTTTAGTCATTTCCGATACAAAAGTTATAGAGTAATTGGTAGAGCCGTACTTTTTAAATAGTATTATAAAGAGAAACCAATATGTTTGCAACCCAATTATTTATTTATATACTTTACACACTTTTATGTTTTATATACTTTTTTAAATAAAATTTTTAAATGAAAAGAAATAATGTGACTTTCGGGTAGTAAAATACACTACATGATAATTAAAACTGTTTTATCGAGACTACTATAACTATCTAAAGTTTAAATTTCAGTGTCAACCTCAATATATACTAAGATGAAACTTTAAAAATTTGTAGATAAAATGGACAGACCTGCCCCTTCGGTGCAATATATGTATTAGTATATATAATATAGTACATAGTTATACTCGTATTAGGAGATGGCCTGTAAAGATACTTGCACCTATCTTTTCTGATAGTATCTTGCTTTTTAGTTAGTCGAAATAAATGTGTGAGCCGTTTTTATATACAGTTATAACACTAATACCGTATGGTTTTGGCTATAACTTATCCGGTACTTATATTTATTCGACTTATGCCCGGTTCCCATATTCAACGAACGGCCGTCAGTTACATAGCTTCGTTACTTTCATAGCGACTTGTAGATAAAAGGTTTCTATACTAACAAAACGAGGCCTTTACCTAACTAGCCGTTGCATTACCTACGGAGTTTAGTCAGTGTTCCCTTTTATCCACAAGTCGTTATGAAAGTTAGGCAGCTATATAACTAACGGCCGTTCGTTGAATATGGTCAATAAATAAATGCAGCCGGCAGCGAGAGTCCCCTGCGCGGCGCGGGCCCCTCCCCTGGCGCGGCGCCCGCCCACGAAGACGTCTACTCGCGCATCCGAAAGACCACCTCCGAGATACACTCCTACACGGCGCAGCACGCCAACGGTACACCTTTTCACGAATCTCTCTCGAAGTACACGTCTCCCAGTTAAAATATACGGTATACGCATGAAAAAAAAAAACATTTGTGGTACCACACACCTGATGTGGCACCCGAGGGCTACAGACGCCTAACTCATCTGCAACCCTCGGGTGTAGCAGTTGTCCATGGACGGCGGTATTCACTTAATTAACACGTGAACCGCTATAGCCTTGCAGAGAATAAAGAAAATTTATATAAATTAGTAGTTGGGTAGAAGTTTTACGTTAGCCTAGTTTCAAGGATTTAGGTAGTACAGGAGTCCCAAATATAGGAATAATAAAAGCCTTTAGAACTATCACTGGCATACCATCCCTATGCCCTAATATCCTCTGTACAGAGAAGGCCTTTGTCCAGCAGTGGGACATTTATATAGACTGTTACTTTACTCTTTTTTATTCTTGACAGCGGAGTGCGGCAACCACATGTCCAGCAAGGATTCCGGCATCAGCCAGATGTCAGACGCTACCCTCTCCAATCGAGCGCAAAACGGCGTCCCCAACGGTCATTACAACGCGTGAGTTTCACTCTTTACACTTACACTACGGTGGTAGGGCCACGCAGCAGCCTCGCACGTATATAATTGTTGCACGAATGGGCAGGCTCGTCCGGGTAAGCACCACGACCTCACAGAAGACCGACGTCAATTGGAAGTATTATACTTTCGCGTTTCGTCTGGTGAGTGAGGTGGCCGGAGCCCAATTTTCAGAAGGTTGTCGACGCATCTGGAACTCTCGGGTATAGCAGATGTCTATGCGCGGTGGTATTCACTTAACATCAGGTGAATCCGTCTGCTCGTTTGGCAATTATTCACATAAAAAAACACTTAAATTTAATGAGACTGATTTTAAGAGTTGTTAACTACTTAATCAGTCACAAAATATATTTTCGTGTTTATCACAAAATATCCTTAGTTTTTGTTTATTTAATGAGAATATTGTAAGCAAGTAGGCGGTGCATGGACTTGCGTACAACTCACGAATAGCTAAATTGCAGACGTGGGTCCTGATTACCATACTAACGAGATAAATAGCAAAAGTATAAAGAATTAGTAAGCCTCAAGTGGCAATGGGCAGACCATACAACTTGTAAAATCGATTACCGATGGGGAAGTAAGGTTCTCAAAAGGTGGCTTCGTATTGCCAGTGCAGTGTAAGATGACTCCCACTAGATGGAGTGACGACCTGTGCAAGTGTGCGGGAGTCTATATGGAAGGCCTGGAAGGAATCGCTACTCTTCCTACAATAGCTTGAGGTGATGGCAAAATTAAGTGGACTGTATATAAATTACTGGTCTTTAATTCGTTGAAACCTTACAACTTTGAAATATATAAGAAAGATCGCGCGTGTTCGCCGTTCCGCAGTCGAGAGTGGTGTGATTTTGAGGCGATGCCGATGACTGTCGCAGCCGCGCGGTGAGTAGGCACTAGTGTTGTGAGAGACAGATGATGAAAAGGAACTGCTGATAGGCTAAAATGTAACGATAATGAGACAGACACGCGTGTGACCGTTGCAGCGGCGAGGCGATGGCGCGCGCCGCGTCGGCGGACAGCTCCGAGGAGGCGGGCAGCACCAAGGAGTCCTCGCCCGTGCCCGGACACGCGCGCCTCGACTTCGCCCACGCGCACGGGTACGCACGCGCACGCACGCACGCACGCACGCACGCACGCACGCACGCACGCACACGCACGCACACGTCCCACGTCTAATGCTGTTCTAATTGAAATAAATCCGATACAATCATTTCAACGTTATGATGAAGCAAAAGTATATTTGCTGTCTTTGAAAGTACTAAATTTTTAGGATTATTTTTTATTTTTATTGCACTGAATCTATCAGACTGAAACAAGCAACCGCTCTCAACAAAACAAATCTTCAATTTATACATTATTACTCAAATTACTAAATTAAATTAATTTTATTCGGTGGCTCTGTTGCTTAGCTATGGCTTCGGCGTCGGGATCATGGGTTCGATACCCACCCGGGACAAGTGTTTTTATTTGTTTTAATTCCATATACATCTTTATGTCTACGGTAACTCAAATATATATGCATAAATTTATATATAAAATAATACAGTTACCGTGAGACCATCTTAATATATTATTATAATCTGCCTGGATATGTTTCTCAATTTTTTCTGATTCTTTATCAGAATACAATATACATGTATCATAAGCAAACATAATATATTAATTACTATTTTTCCACCCTTTTGTCTTTAGATAGTTTTCTGCACACAAATCATTCATAAATAGGGTAGGTATTAGATTTTTGGTCCTTGTAGATTAAAATTCAACAAATGTAACATCTCAAATAAACTATTTATATTTTTCATGAATCATATAACATTTAAAACCAGACTTTCTCATCATTATCATTTCACTTTATTTCCAGGGAGTACAACTCGAACAATCGCGACAAGATCAAACCTTACGATACGGACGAGAACGGCTACATAATCACGAAGTGTAAGTGGAGAAAGAATAATAAAAATCCTTCACTTGTGGACATTTTCTGGCTTTTTTTATGTTAAATAAAAATAACTGGATTATTACAACTTAAAAACAGTTACAGTTTAACAACAACTATTAAATTTTTATATTAAAAGTATTGAAAAATAGTCTTGTGTCAGTTTTATAAAATAAATAAATATTTCAGAATAAAACATTACCTAGTCCCAAACTAAGCAAACAAGTTTTGCTTAATTACAAGTCATATTGAGTTTGTTAATAAATACTGTTTGAATAATTAATATGAATCTAGAAAAATACTATGTACATCATACAGTACGTCTCCATTAGTGGGGAAAGAATTCGTGCTCTTCCTTGCAAGAGACGGTTAGTGAACTCGAAGACTATAAACATGTTTTATCTCTATGATTGATAAATGACAATTTTAAGTGGGTTACAGATTTGTGTATTATGTGTTTTATGTGAAAAGTTGCCAAGTGAGCAAGCGGTTCACCTGATGTTAAGTGAATATCGCTGCCCATGGACATCTGCCACAACCGAGGTTTGCAGATGCATTGACAACATTTGGACATCTGCCACAGCCGAGGTTTGCAGATGCATTGACAACCTTTTGAAAATTGTGCTCCGGCCACTTCACTCAGCAGACAAAACGCGAAAGTATTTGCTATACTTCCACTCGACGCCGATCTTCTGTGAGGTCTTGGCACTTACACGGACGAGCCTGCCCATTCGTGGAACAGCCGAGGCTGCTGCGTGGCCCTACCACCGTGTTCCCTAAATGGCTTCTATGTGTTCGACACGGAGCAGGTGGCCTCCGCGAGCCAGAAGTGCTGGAGGCGCTGTGCCAGCTGGACGTGGCCAGCGCCCCTCCGGCGCAGTGGGAGCGCCTGCTGCTGGCCACGCACGAGCTGCTCAAGTACGGCGACTGCGCCAAGCCCGCGGAGTACTTCAAGTGAGATTATCGACTTATTTATTTATTTATTAAGGTACACCAACAGCATCACATATACTTACATTTATATATGATACATACCAGCTTTTCGCTCGCGGCTTGGCTTGCGTTGAAGCCCTGAAATAAATATCTTTCTTTAAATTTTCCAATTAAAAAAATCACCTATGTCCTTTCTCAGGCTCTAGACTCTCTGTGTACCAATTTTTTTTTTAAATCGGTTCGGTAGTTTTGGTGTGAAAGCGAGACAGACAGACAGAGTTACTTTCGCATTTATAATATTAGTAGGGATATTTTTTTTTAGTAGAATGTTTTGTTCTTAAATATACGCCTATAATAGGTATACGTAACATTTACGACCTAAATAAAAGTAAAACAAAAATAAAATTTTACCGAAGATAGCTTTATTGAAAACGATAGCCATTATGAAATGAGTATCTTTTTTAAGTGCGGATAACCACCGCCCATGGACATTTCCGACAACTGTAGGGTTGTAGATGCGTCATCGCCTTTTGATGAAGTGGGTTCCGATTACCTCACTCGCCACACGAAACGCAATATTGTAACACTTCCACTTCACGCCGGTTGTCTGAGTTCGTGGTATATCAACGGACGGACCTGCCAGTTTGTGTAAAAGTGAAGACCGTTGCATGGCCGTACCACGTTTTTTTTTAAACAGCTAATGTTTAGACGAACAAATTGCGGCATAATCACAGGAGAGAATCGAGATTTTTTCGTGGAATTGCCATAGCTAACACCATTCTACGTCAAATCATATTTTTTAATGTTAACCGTGTGGAAATAGGGTTTAAAAGATTAAGATCCTTTTTTTTTCCTATGAGATTGACCATCGCATTTAAAAATTGATCAAATTAACGTGTGTATTGTAAAAATTGAATTGCCGAAAGAATACAGGCCTACCTTGTTTCGGTAAAGGTATAATTACGTTTATGAACCTTTAATTCTTTTTCCAGGAATATCGTTAGAGTAGCGCTCGCGGCTCTTTCGATCGAAGACAATTCTGGGGACAAGGAGAACTCGGAGAATGCCAGCAACGCGCAGCAGTCGTCAGGTTTGTTATCAAAACTTGTCTGAACTTTGTTTTTAATATAGGATGAATAGTTGTGTCCCTAAGCACATGCCCTGAGGGAATCAATATTTTTATAATTTTATTTGTATCCAAATGACTGCAAACTGTGTCAATTTAAGATGACTCCATGGCTCAGTTGCCAAGGTATTGACTTCGGCGTCGGGGGTTGTGGACTCGATTTCCACACGGGACAACTATTTGTGCGACCCACAGATAGTTGTTTCGCATCTGGTTGTTTGTTCATGTTTGTAAAACTTCCTTACAACACAGGATAACTGTTATCCTAAAGTTAGGTCAATGTTTAAAAAGACAAAAGAAAGCTTTGGATGTAACTAATCTAGTCTAATCCTAATCATTCAAAGCTCGTTCGCCTATTCACTGTCGTACTCCGGGCAGGCTGGGGCAGCGCGCAGGAGCGCGCGGCCGCCGAGGCGGTGAAGGTGCTGGTGTGGCTGTGCCGGCGCGAGGAGACGCGCGCGCAGTGGCTGGACTACTTCGACCTGATCCTGCTGAAGCTGATCAACGCGTACGCGCTCAGCAAGGAGGTGATGCGCGCCGTGGACGCCGGCATGCCGCACGTGGCGCGCGCCCTTCCAGCCGCCCAGGTATACTGCGCAACCGGCAACAAGGAAGGCTGAAAGGCATTTCTGCCGAGCAACATGAAGTGATAACAGAAACTCATCAACATTATCCTCCATTGTTTATTGATTTATATTTTTCGACGGGCGCCTGACTTTTGTCAACCCTCCTTGGGAAACAAACACCCAGATCCGGAAGAATTATTAGTGGGAATCGAACTCACGACCGTCAGCATCGGAGCCTCAGCTTAGAATAGCTAAAGTACGGCGACACCGATCTTCATAGCTACACAAAACAGAAATTAATAAATAAAATATAAATATATGTATATTAATAAATTATTCATAAATACAGGGTGATTTTTTTGTATTGAGGTTATTGTACTGAGACGGTAAGGCAGGAATTTCTTAAGGTGTCCACAATGCTTTAAAAAAAAATAAAAAATGACGTCACAAGTACGTACCGGATTCAGATTTAGAATGAAATTCGTCGTGTATAAAATCACCGTGTATACAGTGCAACTATGTAAACATGTGCAGGTGCTGGCGCTGCTGAGGCCGGTGGTGCGCACGCGCGGCTACCCCACCTCGCTGTGCGCGCTCAAGCTGGCCGCGGAGGTGGCCAAGGCGCGCAGCGACGAGCTCACCGACGACCTCGTCGCGCAGCTCATGGAGGGCGTCGGCCAGGTGGGTGCCGGGCTCTATCCGGCTCGAAGGACCGAAAGTGACGAGTCTGTAATCGAAACCGAATAAACGCTAAACGCCGTTGCACGAATGGGCAGTTACGTCCGGGGAAGTACCACGGCTTTACAGAAGTCCGGCCTGCTGAGTGAGGTAACTGAGACCCACCATTTTTAAGTTGGTCAACGCACCTGCAAACCATCGAGTGTCGTTTCCCGTAGGCGGCGGTAAACGGAAGAGCCGATCTATTATATATTTTAACTACGAAACGACACGAGACAGGATTTACGTCGAGAGTTGCTTTCTACTGAGAATTTCGGCATTGACCGATTGATTTTATGACAATGTTTTCACAGCTGGCGGACCACCAGAACTCGGCGGTGCGGAAGGCGGCCGTGTTCTGCATGGTGGCGTTCACCTTCGCCCTCGGCGAGGAGCGAATGCAGCCGCACCTGAAGCACCTCTCCGTCAGCAAGTACCGTCTGCTGCAGGTAAGCAGTTTGGACTCCTCAGTACTTACGTCTGATCATTCATCCCCTGGGTATTGAATTATTTCTTGGTTACAATTTTGGACGAAATTTTTCACATTATATGCGTGAAGAGTTATTAACCTAGAGTGGTCGTCTTTAGTGTTCAGTTGTTTTAGTTTCAGTTGTTCAGTATTACATGTCGCCAGCTTCATATTATTACATTACTCCTAGATTCATGAACATGAGAAACGTATCGTCAGACATAAATCGATAGTAATTTACTGTGTATGTATGAATATATACTGTGTATACTTAATACACATCTACGTATGTATGATTATGTTGGTAGTTTTTAAATTTATTACCTAATTATTACATATAACACAAATTACAACATATTTATTTGAAGATGTAGCGTTTACAACTGTTGTTACAATGTTTCTGTTGTACCTAGGGTTAGTTGGTAGAGTATGCAATATAGCATTGGGCTCGCCTTTGCACAATTTTTAGTGCAATAAAAATTAAATAAATAAATGGACACGACCTTTAATGTTTTTAAATTTGTGGCTACTCCGACGTTTTCCCGTCCGGCAGGTGTACATAAGCAAGCAGCGGGAGGAGGCGGCGCGCGGCGGGTCGGCCTCGTAGCGGCGGCACGAAGCGCGCTTCGCGTGCCGCTCCACGCAGACGGACGCGTAAAGCGCACGCACGCTTAACGCGAACGCATGCGTAATACACGCGAAACGCGCTCGCATACGTAACGCGCGCACTCGTAACGCGCACGCACGCAGGCACGCACGCCGCCCTAGTTAGCTAACACGAGCCATTGCGCCGCTGTCTGCCAGTCCGGGCCCGCGCCGGGGTCGAAGTCGGCCGCGCCGCGCCGCAACACGTACCGACCCGAGCGGATGAGGTCATTGATCCCGTTGGTGAGTTCGTTGACCCCATTGGGTGCATCGACCCATACAGACGAGGATCGAAGTAGACATTTCATCGCGCACCGCCCCGCAGCAGCGAGTAAATGGTGACGTCATCCGTTTCCCGTAACCCAATCGGCATTTATCGTGGCAGATATATTATTAAATATTGTTTTTTTTTTTAATTATTATTATTATTCTTCTCATTTCATTTGAAACCAATAAAAGTGTACAGCAAGTTTATATATTCTTATATATTATGCTCTGCCTCGTTTTCAAGCATTTCATTGTGCGAATGGGGTGGATATGGGTGCGAATTGAAATTATGAAATATTAACGTATACAATTGTTGTATTAACATTTTTAGCTTTTATGTCACCTAGCGCATTGAATCGATGTACGTACAAGGGTTCCCGAATGAACGGACATCGGTATCGACGAATCGATATTGTGCCGTACGGAAAAGACGAATTCTGGTCGTAGATAATGCGTTTGGAAGAGGAGTGTTACGAATGTGTATAGATAGTCGTATCCCATTGTATTATTGATAGGCTTTGGAGTTGGAGCTTTTGTTTTCGTATTTCTCCCGTTTCTTCTTTAACTTAAAATTTCTTGTAAAGTAAACAACACTACTTTTCGGATAGCTCTATGGTTCACTGACTTGAGTCTATGCTCTTACAACGGAATGTTCTAAACGTCAACATCAAGATTTACATATAGATGTTTAAGTGTGTACGAGTTCTTTTTTTCCAATCTTTTCTCTCTTTCTTTTCCTCGTTCCAATTCACTCTTACCATGTGCAACTAGGTGTACATAGGTTTTGTATAAAATATGTCAAAATTACGCAAAGTTTGGTCGCAAAAGCTATTTTTCTAATTACTACCGCATTAAATCTCGTGATAATATTCCTCGTATTATCGGAGTTGCATTGTCGTTAGCATATTTTAAGAAAATATTTGGCACGGAACAATGATTTCGATATTTATTGTTATATGGCGTAAGACGACGATAGCTATCTAGTAAATACATAGATCGAGTCGATGGAGTGTGGTCACTTGTGGTGTTTTTTAAAATTACAATTGATAAATTGTAGAAATCCGCCATCTTGTGGGTAAATGTCGGCCATTTTGAATTACGAAATGGCTCGATCGGAGAAGCACAAATGATTAGTATAACATTCTAACTTTGCCCGTCTCCTATCGAATTATTCCCGTTTTCCAATGAGGTCTGTATAAAATATTGTCAGGGGTTTGAGTTTCGTACGAGCATAGACGGTTATCTATCATTACATAGATTTGTAAACGAAGACGGTTCGATATAAATTTATGACGTGGGATATTTTGATACGTCGTATGTCGTACAAGTTGTTTACGTTGGCTCAAATAAATGTCCCATGAGATCTTCCTAAAAAGCCACTTTTCTACAGAAATATGGCTTTATTCCAGTGTGTAGTCTCAGATCGTGTTTCTTTCGTATATTGTATATGCATTTTTGACTCGTCTATCGATCGGAACGTAGGTCTATTGTCCAGTTTGGTGTTTATTCAACATACCGGGGTGACCTTTGCCTTCCCAATTGCTCACTGCGCGACGATTCCCGACGTCCCGCTCGACAGACGTGCGACGCGTTTTGACATCTGTCAAAGTGACATTTGACGTGCTGTTTTTTTTTTCTTTTTGTCTTTGAACGGAGAGGTAGGTTTGTGCCTTTATGCCAAAAGAAAACGTTGAGTTTGTTGTACTATCGCATCTGTTTGTCCGCCGACGCCCGCCCGAAAGGGCGATGAGTTGGGTTGCGTTAATATGATCGCACGTTTCGAATTATAGCGAACTATTTAGGAGATATCAAGTTTTGGGAAACTTAAAGATTTGTCGCACTTACGAACGATCGAGGCGATTGGAGGGGAGTGAAAGAGACCGAAGTATACGTTGTGTAGCTTTCTACAATAGGCCCCCGTTTTATTAAGAGTCGATAAATCTAGTCGTTTTAGGTCGTCTCCTGACAAAGTCAAAATCATGATTTTCTTAATTCTAAACGTGCGTATGCGTCTTTGGCATTTTCTTTCTCGTCAATTAAACGTGTCACCGAGAAGGGGAATATCAAAGGGGATTCGATGTTTTTTTTTCTCGAATTCAACATTCTTATGTCCGTTTGCGAGGTGCGGGCAATATGGCGTCGATTATGTTGTTATATATATTATATTTACACAGTTGGATCGCGTTTTTGGCATGTTTTTTTGCTTGTTACGACGCGGCCTTCACTGTGGGCGCGGGCGGTCCGTTGTGACGCTTTCATCGTTTTTATATATGTACGTATGTGGCTATATCTAACGTGTAATTAGCTAGCTTTTGTATCTAATTGTATTTTCTATACGGCCGATCGGCGCGTCCGTTCGTTTGTTTTACAGTCGTTAGTTAACACTTGAAACGACGCTAATTTTCCTCGTACTAACTTCCACCCTCCGTTGTATTTTATTCTTAACGTTTATGCAGTAATGTATATATTCGATTGGAGTAGCGTGTCCGAACTCAACTCGTCGCGAATTGATATTAACTTTGTGAAATCGCAAAATGTATTTTATCCATTCTTGTGTAGTATGCGTTTGTTAATAGTGATGCGTTATTGTTTGTATAAAGTGGTCGGCCCAAAAGAAAATTTCTCCCGATTAATTTTAATCGTAGTTTGAAATGTTAAATTTACGATTCGGTTTCAGTACTACACTATTATTAAATCTGTTCTTTTCGTATTAGTTAGAACGATCCCGGTGAATCTCATCGTTGTATTCTTAGCTCCGATATTTTTGAACTGAACAAGCCATTCGTGTTTTGTAGTTTTATTTTACACACGATTCTCTAAATGCCGTTTAATTGTTACACAATTTGTAGAAAATTTTTATCGGAGATACTTTCAGTTAAATCCTCAAATCGATATTTGTTATAATCATTCACTTTACATAATTGTTTAGTTTAGTCAGAGGATTACTACTAGTTGGGTACGTGAGAAATTATTTAGTACACGTAACTGCTGACCGGGGTCCCTCGCTTACTATAATTACCGTTTGATTCACGTAAACTCTCACCGTAAAATCGGCTCAATGTAACCACCAATTTCGACCTGAAATATACAGCGCTATTTAATATAAACGTCTGTCTACACTCAGAGTCGACGATTAGCATTAAATTTGGAGTTTCATATGCGAAGGTCAGACTTTTTTTTAATTCAACGCAACTAAATAACTGACGTCTATATCTTGCGGCCGCATGTCTCGTAACAAATTAAATTTCATAATATAAGCTCCGTATTATTTTCTAACACTACTTATGATTTGCGTATAATGTTATTTAGGAGCTCGGATAATGAAAAATATTGAAATTTGTTAAAAATCGAACGTAAATTACTATTGGTTATGACTTAAAAAGTTGACCCAATAGTTTTTTGGAATGTTACCAATATAGAATATGTATTTTTTAGAAATCGCGGGCAATTGTGTATATATTACGAATATATTATGTAACGCGGAGACGTCAGTTAGCTACTAGCGTTTCTAACATTAATTCATAAAATGGAACCTTATCGACAAGTTTTTAGATCGAGTTTATAAATTCGTAATTTTATTCTAGTTACATGTTAATAGTCGTCTCTGAGTGCGGTGTTACGTTAGAACGTTGCATCGCTACGCATATTTGGGATTTCGCGGTGAAACTTTACGTGAAGTTTGTCTCGATTTTGTGGCACCGTCATGAATGGGAATTGTCTGTGAGATTTGTGTTTCATTATTGTAAACCAGTTAAACTACTACATCAGCATCGCACGCGATTCACCATGTTATTTAACAAAGTTTTTCCATGAAACTGCATTCTTACGGTTTTGTATTTTGTATCGCTGCATTTATATGGAATGACGCTTGATGGCGATAGACGCGTGTCAAATATTACCCGTAATAATTACTGTATTTAATTGAGAAAAAAAAATAACGATTAATATTATTATTATTGAATATAATTATTAATGTACGATAGTTATGAATAAAAATGATTTTTAAGCCATTAATTCCACTGTGTGTTTTTATTTATTCGCCCCCTTCCCGCGCGTTTGATATTGTTCCTAGTTAATGTTCTTTAAAGGTATTTTAGAAAAACCCATTGAATTTTATGTGAATTAGTGTTAATGCATCGCGCATTGATGTATAGGCTGAACCCAATACAACAAATCATCGCGCAATAATCATTTATTCATCGTGTCCACTACTTCAAGAGCGCTGTCAAAACTGGCCACTACCACTTATCTAAACAGATATCGAAAATCTTTTAATGACTTGTATTTAACACGCCTCCGTATTGAAGTGAAGACTTTGTATTTATTATCATTATTCGATATTAGGCAAACTATTAATTGTATTTATATGTAAATTACTCATTTTGTAAACGGTGTTTGTGTACGATCAATAAAGATTTTTCTACTCTATTCTATTCTAACTAATGTCATCACACCTGATACAGACGTATTCGCTCGCGTGCCCACAGACACAAATGCGAATGTTCGGATATTTGATAACAAACATACGTAATAACCTTAATTATGCATTTACTAGTAAGTTCTCTAACTCTGAACAACGAAATAAGTTATTGTCCTTCCTTATAGCTAAGTCGCGTTTCCATTATAACTAAGTCGTATTTCTTTTGTATTTTATTGCTAGTCTGCACTCGAATAACTTTTCTCAAACAAAAA